AGCATCTTCAATTTGCACTGTTTACTTGGCTTTAAGTAATTTGGTTTATGAATTTAAATGAAATAACAAAGGTTAATTGAATTAAATGCTTACTTGTTTTTTTTAGGGAAGTATGTAATGGTGATGGGTGTGGTGCGGTCCTGCAGTCCGGAGCCCATTCTTCGAGCAATAAAGATGACAGATCTCTCTGAAAACCCCATCCATAAGAACATGTGGAACCTTGAAGTGGAGGATTTGCACAGAGTCATCCCCTAATACTTTTATTTTCTGCCTAAAATAACTGGAAACTTGTTTTCTTTGGCTTTTTGGTGCAGAACATTGGTCTATTCTGTGTAAGCACTCCTGGAGTAAACCAAAGTGAGACGTTGGGCTCAGTTAAGCATAGGGACCAGTGCTTATCTGATAATAATCACAGCTCATGTCTCCCAGTTGGTTTGATACCAGCATATTCGAGAAGTGCCTATTTGATGTTTTTAATTAAGATGTCCACACTATTAAAAAGGCTGTATGTTTGTTTCTGTGTGTGTTAGCTGCTGTTTGGGGGAGCACGTGTTAAGGCGTTTGTTCTACAGCAGGGCTGCACAGGACTCGTGTTACCAGGGTGAACTCAGTACCTGGCCTCAAGGCAAAATGTGTTTCAATCCATTTAGGCTGTGCTTGGAAATAATTGCTTTCACCTGTATTTTCTATTTTAGTAATTACCATGTCTGTAAACTACTTGTAAGACAGGTGTCTCTTGGTAACAATTAGCAGTGTCTTGTACTTAAAATACCTCTCTAGTTTCTGAAATACCAAAAGTGGTAATGAGCCCTCTGTTCCAGTGAAGTGAAGTTAATGAAAAGATGTGATGCAGGATTCCTTGGAATAGGTTCTCCAGGTGCAAGATGTAAATACGTTTTACCTCTAGAAACAAACATTCTGTCCCTCAGTGTATTTTTCTTTTGAAGGTTTTTTGCTTCCCGTGTATGCTATTTTTAACTGTTTAAATAATTCTGAATTCTTTTCTGTTATTACCTTTCCTTTTCTGATAAAAAGAAACTATGAAATCACATCAAGAAACCTATAAAAAGGAGAAATGTTACATTATTTTATTTATTATCTTTATTTTCCATCTTGTCTAAAGAGAATTTGGGTCCTGATGAATGCATTGCAATATCTGTGTGGAATGGCTTTTTGATTAGGGACTGTGTTGTCCAGCAATAGAGTTATGTTAATTAGGAATGCATATTGGAAGAGAAGAGAATCTGTGATTGAATGATCTACAACTCAAGATGAGAATCAAGTGGTGGTAATTAGATTTTTAAATTGTGGGATAGGTTTTCAAAGCATGTGGAAACTGAGTAGCATCCTTTAAAGATTTTAGATCTTTGCAGACTAAGGACTGGATTTCAGAGTACAATTCCAGTCCTGAGTATGGTGTTCCAAACCAGACCACATCACGAGCACTTGGATAGTGGAAGTCCTGTGCTCCTGAGAGCCTGCTGATGAAATGCCAAGACATACAAAGATAAAGACTTGTGGCAGTCTGGGTTTATTTATTGTTTGTAATACTGAAAAAGATCTACTTGTGGAGTGCTGTGGCCTTCAGAAATAATCCATGTGACCACCATATCAGCTGGTAACTGGTTCATATTAAAAATTATTTTCCTAGGAGTTCAAAGCAAAAGACACTTGTAGCCAGGGTGAGTGTTGTACTTCACCTCATGAGAGGCTGATGGTGGCTGTTTAAGGCTGGGCTGATGGGCCTTGCTTCTGGATTTTCACAGTTAAGCATTGTACAGCTCTACTGGGTACTGGGAATTCTCCCTTTTCCTCACCTTGTGTCTCACATTCTGCAGTTAGAACATGGGTTTGTGGTGTTTGTTGCTGTTGTACAGGAGAGTATGTAACTAAGGAGTTACAGGATAAGGGAAATTGTTTAGGCCTGTGTTGAGGAGGAGAGCAAAGCTGAGCTCTTGTTACATCTCTTCTGGGGTTAACTTGGTGTAATAAGCAGAAATTCTGTGAACTTTATAGATCATGAGGGTTCTTTATAAAGAACATGTTGGAAGTAAGTTGTAAGCACTAAAACTAGGCTGGGAAGCATGACTGAACCTGTGTGTGCTTGCAAGGACAGCTGGTGTGGACTGGTGTGTTCAACATGCTCTCACAGCAGGAGTTACAGAGGCAGAAATTCCTACGTGTTGTGTGGTGGGGAGATCCATGAGATATGCAGTGCATATTATGTATTTGCCATATGACAACATAATTCATGTACTGCATGACCTGCATCTGAGGCATAAACAGTTTGGATTACTTCAGTCAAGGTGTTCAATAATGTGCAGCACTGCCAGTAGTTATCTACTGAAAGTTTAGTCCTGATAAAGCCAGGGCTAGTGCAGAGATAAAAGCCAGTTTTGAAATACTGAGGCTGATGGATTGATCTGATAAATGCTTTGGTCAAACCCTTCCAAGGTGATTGTTCTCCAGACCTTCATTCATGAGAAAGCACAAAGGCCTCTCAGTTGACCTGAGGGCTGTTTTGTGTGGAGCTGGCACACTGCCCTGCAGGGACACTGCTGTCCCTCCCTCCAGGTGCACCTGGAATGGGCTTCTCCACATCCCCCTGTCACTCTGGTGTTGTGTTTGCTGATAGGAGCTGCCTCTGTTAGGCAGGAGGGTGATGTGTGGGGTCAATTTTTTAATTCCCCAGGTGAGACATTAACATGCAGTAAAGAAGGCATACTTAAAAACAGTCTGGATGATGGTCTGGATGGTGTTATTGGTTTGTGAAAGTTCTGTTGAAGAGCCCCATGGCCTGTGACACTGCTTTGTTTGTGGGCAGGTATTTGGTGAGCAGGTGTGACAGAGCACTTGCCTTTGCATTAACAGCAGAGTCAGGCAGGGAGCAAAGGCACAGCTGCCAGTGCAGAAGCATGACATGAGGCTTTATTCATGACAGCTATCAATAAGTGCTAAACTTATGAACATGACCCGGAACCCTTCATTTAAGTGTGGGGTCATTTGGAGTTTTTTTTCCTTTTTTTTTCCTCACCCCAGATGGTGGCTCCGTTGGCCCTGCTCAGTGTAAGTGGTGTCTCGTGTATGCCCTGTGTGCAGGCAGGGTGTCCACCCTGGCTCAGTGGGGTGTGAGACCAGCCCATGGGGTCAGTGGGGTGTCTGGGCTGGCCCATGGGGTCAGTGGGGTGTGAGACCACCCCATGGGGTCAGTGGGGTGTCTGGGCTGGCCTGTGGGGTCAGCAGGGTTTCCAGCTGGTCTGTGGCTCTAGGGTCAGAGCAGGACTGGGTCTGCTCCTGCTGAGCTTCAGGGCTGGAGGTGTGTCCAGGGCCTGTACAAGTTCCTGGCTCGAAAGAGTATCTAGACAGCAGCTGTGCATGTGGAGAACCTAGGAACAGCTCAGAGATACAAACAACTGGACTGAGCAAAATGTTTAAAAATGTTTATTGGTAGTTAAATGGCTTCTTTAGTACAAGTGATAAGTTATATGCAGCTTTTAGAGGAGACCTGATGTCTGTCCAGCTGTGTTGCTGTCTACAATTAACATTTAAGTTAAATTCCTGTATTTCTGTATTGCCAACTGAGCTCTTCTTATTTTGGTCTACTTGCTGATATTTTTCTTTGTTTCTGAAATTGTCACCACAGGATTTTTTTTCAGAGGTACTTGGTGTGCTTAGCTGGGGAGTGAAGTGACACTCAGTGACTGGGGAGAAAAATATGTGTTTTTTAATCAGTAACTGGTGTAAATATTCTGTAACTTCCAGAAATATTTCATAGAATTTTGGCTTTTTACAAGGGTGCAGGTGTAACATTATTACACAGGAAGACTTGATTTCTAGCATCTGAGGTGTGTGGGAATCCTAAAAATTGCAGGATTTTTTCCTGACTAATGTAGGAATCATGTTTTAATTAGTATCAAGCTAGAGAATAAGTGTTCAGAAAGTGAGTGCAGCTGCAAGCACAGCATACACAAGATAAGAGGCAGCTGTTTGCTTTTTCTGTGAGCCAGTCAAACCCAGCCAGTACCAACCCTCCATAGAGGTCAGTGCAACTTTGTTACAAATAATCAATAAAAATGTACTCCAGCTTAAAAATAATGCTTTCAAATGTTTATTAGCATGATGTCATAGTAGGAAATACCTTTATTTCAATGTTTGCATATTTTGCAAACATTGCATTTGCAGCATTACCTTTTACCAAGGAGTAGCTGCATTCCAAGCAGCTGTGTGGAGGAAGGTAATGCAAATTTTAAATCAAGTGACCTACAATACAGAAAGTGATTTAACAGGTGAGACACTCACACAGCAGTAGCTGTAACACCCTAACGGTACTTCATGGGTAGGGTAGATCTTGGTCACCCCTCAACACAGCAACTGATTGCTGACGGGTTTCTAAAGACACAAAGGGAAAATGTGCAACTGGTGCACAGAAACTAAGAAGGCTGTTTCTCATTTAACAGTGCATACATTAAAAAGGGAAAAATCAGCACAAAAATGAGAAAATTATTAGCTGCTTTCCATTATTTACCCATCTTATTTCTGTCTTGGCCTTCTTGTGTGTTGGAGCACTTCCCAGATAACTTTCTCCAGAACCACTGAACAGTGGAGTTTCATTTCTGGAGAAAAAAGAAGTCAGCATTTCTGCTGACTCTAAGCTGATGATGCTGCTTTCACAAAGTAGTCCACTTGTACTAATCTGAGCTGGAAGAGAGCTTTTCTCAGCTTTTCAGTGTATTTGTGCTGTGGTTCAAGACTTGTGGAGAGGTAATTTTGCCACTGAATGGGAGAATTTTTTTAGAGTAACTGCTACTTTCCAATATCTTTTGGTTGATTATAGTTTCTTGTCAATATACTGAAATAATTCCTCTTGCCCTCAGGGGTTCTGGGTGGAAAGCTTTCCTTTTATACTATATATACTTCACTATATTCACAGTTAACACTAATGCATCAACACATCTACTGTTCTTTCCCTGTTCTTGCCTCTAGCTTGCCTACCTAAAATAACTGTTCCCTTTTGGGTACTGGAAGGGTTCTTCCATCTTCAGGGCTGGTATCTGCCATTCAGAACTGGCTGGAGCTGAAACAAAGAAGAGATGAACTCCAGGTAAGTGATAAGTAAGTACAAGTCACATGTAATGCAACCTGTCATTACAGTGAAATACAAAAAAATCTCTGAAGGGAAAATAGCATCAGATACATTTATGACATTAAAACACTGGGGAAAGTACTCCAGCATTTTAGATATGGTTTTATCTTAGATCACTAAACTGAAATAAAGATGTAAGATTCTCTCATGTTTGATAAATTCACATTTAGGAGGAAAAGGGCAGCATTATTTCTAGTTTATGAGGTCTGGATTCAGCTATTCAGTGGAAGATCCTTGACAAGCATGAATTTCTAAGAAATAGTGCAGAGGTAGTTTCTGCTGACAGCCACTTTCTGTTTTGCTGTCATGACTGTTGCTGGTTATCAGTTACTGTGTGTGATTAAACCAGCGATTACAGACTCTTTCATTGTGTCAAACCTGATTCTCCCTTAGTTTGGTCTGTTCAACTTCCTTCTCTTTAGAGTGTTTACATATTTAGAGACTTAACTCATGTCTTTCCTCAACCCTTCCATTTTTTCCCCAGGACTCTTCTCAACTGGTTCATGATAGAAGTAAAACATGGTGTCCAACACTGAATATATAAAATAAGCTAAATAGAGAAGAAGTATTCTGTGTCTTCAATATGTTGATTCATGTGTATGTCCCCAATGTATTTTGCTTCTTTATTAGCATGTTCTAGGTAACTGAGCTTGTGGTCCATCTTCATTTCAATCCTTTTTCTCAGAAATGGGATAACGTAAATTAGCAGCACTAGCTGACTGCAATCATTCAGCTACCAAGCTCTTCTAAAACTTTGTTTTCAACTGAATATTTTTGTTGACTCAGATTTAACAAAATTTGTCTCTGTATTTCATATTTATATGTTGAAGATTTATGTAACTACTCTAGCTAAAAACCACTCACTGCCTCCAAGTTGCTACCCAGAAATGTCCTGATCATCCAATGCTTAGGAGCTGAGTGAAGGAACAGCTCGGGCAGATACTGACACGCAATGTTGTTTCAGTGTGTGGGAGTGTGATGTGATGCACTTACAGACACAGCGAGTGTTCTTTTTCTAGGTTTTTATTTTGTGGCCAACAAACCCATCTGCAAATACTATTCCCTTCCTTAATGGGTAAGAAATCAAGTAATAATTGTAAATTTTTCAAGGCGTACACAAATGGGTTTGTAGTTGTTTGCCAAATCAGTCCTTCAAGATAATAGTGAGTTTACAAATGCAAATAAATAATGTTCTAATACATATATTAAAAACCCCACACTCTTTTCATTACTAAACCTTAGCAAAGCATGGAGCATAAAAGGAATAAACCCAAGTGCTTCATTTCAAGCAAAAGCATAATGAGCTCTTCTGTGTGATTCTGCCATGTATTTGGTGTAAATGTTTCCATTGCAATCTTGTAAAAATACAGTGAGTTACTACTTGGGCAAGAGTATCAATAATGGAAGTCCAGTTAGCAGCACATGGGGCTCCAGCCACTCTTGGAGCACACAAATTGGCACAATAACCACAGAAGTGGGAAAGGATTGCAATTATAAAAAATTCAAACAAGTGCTACTGCTCTATTCAGGCTTTTCATCTTCCTTGGCTGTATTCCAAGAATCCACTTAATGCAATCTGGATGACAGCTGCATTAAAACACAAGTATTGGTAATCTGGATATTCTAGGTTGAAAAGATAAATTTCATTTTTGGATACTGAAAAATACAAAAATAAGTCTGAGTATTTTGTGTCTGTATATGTATTGTTAATATGAATCCAAATGCAGTATTAAGACCAAAAAAAGATGGAACCAGAAATAGTATCCAAGAGGAGGAACTCCTGGGGACATTACACAGTATTCTGCAGGTATCCTTCTGCCTCTGTTACACAGCACATTAGGACAAAATAAGAAAGGCAGTAGAGAGTGGGCAGTGGGTGGGCTCTGGTGAGCTCACGAGTGAACAGCAGGAAGGGGAGGTAGCCAAGAGGGAAGAAGAGAATTTCTGGGAATAGGATCAGTTTTGCTCATGGCCACAGTCAGATTCCTTTAGTTTTATTTTCTCATGTGTTCTTGCATTACAGACATGTAAGTACTGGAGCAAAGCAGTCAGAATATTCAGGGTGGTAAAAGAAATGAAACTTACCACTGTGGAGGGATTTCCACAGGGACAAAATTCCGGTTGCACAAATGAACAAAAGCTGCTGCTAAGCTGCAGGCAGCCCCCAAGGCTGGGGAGTCACAGGTGTCCTGTGTACACATGGTGTAGAATGGCTCAGGCTCCACCTGGGTACAAAGGGAGGCGTTAGGGGCAACCTGCAGGTAAATCCAGAGGTTCGGGTTGTGTCCCCTCCCCCCTGCCTGGTTAGGACCATTCATAATCCTTTATTCCCTTCATAACAGTGAGGAGGTTATTTCTGTTTCCAAATTCTAGACCTGTATCGTAAAGAGCAGTTATGCCACTACTCTGTCAATTCAAAAACCTCCATTTATATTTAGGGTGATAAAACCACCTTCTTTTCTGTCTGGATTGCTGTTTTGCTTACTTCTACAGTTTTCTGCAATTAAACTTCTACATCCTTGCAATGGTTATGTGATCTCCTTGGAAGTATGACACATAATTAAGACACTGCTTCTGGCTGAAGTTCTACTTACAACTTTGAAGCAGTTCCTAAGAAGTGAATGTGGTTCTTCAAAGAACACTTTACAGATGTTTTGCTTAGCTGTAATTGGGCATGGCTTCTCTTTCTTCTGTATGAGACTGCACTTATTCACCTGGGAAAACAAAATTACTTAAGTTGGTGTATTTTGGGTTTTTTTTGCATACATCAGAGTAGGATGAGTTCTTCAGATTTTCAATGTGCGCTGGTTTGAAGGATGATATGGACAGCTAAGTACCCTGTTCTAATGTTTATTGTTCATTAATATTGAGAGGCACCTCACAGATTAGCTATTGTTTCCTTTTGCTATTGATTCCGTTATTCACTGAAGTATTTTGGTGTGTAGTTGCTGACATAGCAGGTAGTTGGCTAGTTCTCTTTAATATAGATCTGACAGGTCAAAGTTGTGCTTTTACTAGATCATTCTCATGGAGAAAAAAAACTTCATACTCTTGCTGGATTATCCATAGGTAAAGGTGGCTTTAAAAAAAAAAGAACAACAAAACCACATCACCAAGAAGTTCTTCAAGCAAGTGCAAATTGTAGTTATTTTACTTACTAAGGAAAATGAGCTGGCAGTTTACTCTGTGCTAACCCTCATCCTGCAGGAGTCAGACACTCAGTCCCTTCCTGTTGTGCAGCTTTGGCCTTGTGATGGTGGAGCTTTGCTGACGTCCTTTGCAAGGTCAGTGCATGACAAAGGCTGTGATAAAGCTCTGGGAACAAGCTGCAGTCAGAGTTCACAGTTCAGTGTGAGCCCTTCCAAGCAATAGTGCAAGTGCAGCCATTCTGGCCCTGAAGAAGGGCACCCTGGACTCCCCTGCTTCTGTATGACACTAAGTTTCTTATATATTGCTTTTAATTGATTCTTTGTTCAATGTCTCTCGGGAGTTTTTCATTTTTATAAGTATATTAGAAGTTAATATTTGTAGCAATTAAGAAAATTGTGCCTATGGTCAGTCATATTGGGATCCTGCCCCATTATTAACATAAACATAGGCTGCAAGCTCATAAACTGTATCTCTGCAACAGCAAGAAGTACCAGATACTTGAAGAAATTCTCTTTTACAGTAAAGTACTGACATAAAGCTGGAAATGAGATTTCTGTTCCCAGACATCTTCTGTGAGACAGGATAAATGGAAGAGTCACAAAATCTTTGTGGTAATAAGATGCTGGTTCCTTTTCTTTTTGGTAGTAGATTCTTAAAATGATACTTAGAGGATCCTGTCAACATGGCTTGAGAGCATGTTAAGGTTACTTTTCTTGCTTGGTTGCATTCACAAATGGTTCTGTACAGCTGTGAGTTTGTGTATTCAGAGTATTTGCAGCTGATACAGAGTACTTTAATTAAGCAGAGGTATAATGTTTCTGGTATAAAACTGTTACAACATTTATTTATGATAGTTATAGGAGTCTTTCTGTGCAAGTCAGTAACTGACAGCAGCAGTTAACCTTCCAAAAAGATCTGAATACTTAGTGGTGTAGGGATGGAGAACAAATTCGCTAGTTACAAGTATCTGAACTTTTGTTTATTGATAATTTTATTTGTTCTTTATGCTTTACATCTTAAGAGGCTCAACGGACCTAGCTAGAACTAACAGCTCTAAAGAAAACTTCAGACTGCAACCTGAGTGATGAACATAACAGATTTGGCCCAGACCTAGTAGCACCTGTCCCTGCATTCCAGGAAAAGGTGCTCTAAGGAGGAAAACATCAAAGAAACTTAGTTTCAATATCAGTTTATTCTAAAATCAGCAACAGCCACCTCTATGTTTTACCTTACCACCAAGCCAGAAATATTCAATGCTATTAATAGGGAATTCTTGAACAGTTTTTAGCAAATACGTGCAGCCTTTTCCCTGGTTAGACATAGCAAAACAATCCAGTGTGCTGCTGTTTCCACTATTGAACTTTAGTTCTTCTAAGCCACCCAGTGTGTCAGACAGTGCCCTCTGTCAGCACCCTGCACACAGGAGCCCCTCAGCTCATTACCTGCCAGCTCTGTGTGAACTCTTTCATGTTGTCAGTGAAAGAACCATTAGGCACCATCCATTCGTTTCCAGCTTCATTATCATTGGTACCAAAAAGACCAGCTGAAACACCTGGGAGGAAATTGAAATGGAGTGAAATAGGAATTGTCAGGAGTAGGTGCAGGAATATTGCAGCAACTGTCTCTGGGCTCTGTCCAAAGATTATTCTGTCCAGCAGAGTTCAGCTCTGTTGTGGAAGAGGGGAAGCTGCCCAACCTTCATTGCCACCTCACATCTCAGCTGGTCATGGGCTTCTGAGCACATCACGGCATCAGATCCATTCTCTGCTAATCTTTGGGGGTGACTTTTAGAACAGTGTGGGGTATGTGGATGGTACATGAATGCATTCCAAGTATACAAAAAACTCAGTGAGATTTTGGGCCTCCCTCTAGAGTTGTCTTGCAGGTCTGAGAAGCTAAGCCTGCTCTAGAGCAGATTCTCAACCAGATTTTGGGTCTGGGCTGACTGCAGTATCGCTGCCTCTGATTTTTGTCTGCTTTATAGCATTGAATCACTAGGAACCCATAACTTGCTCTTCTCCCTGGAACGCTGCATTCCATGCTCTAGTTGGCTGTTTCTGGGAATGTCTAGGGCCATTTCCAGGGTGTCTACAAATGAAGAGGGAGGAAAAAAACTGAAAGCACAGATGCTGGTATTACCAGTAATACAGATAATTCAGAGAGATAGGAAAAATTACTAACAGCTGACAACAGCTGTATAACTGGCACTCACCATGGTGCCACCCAGCCAGAGTGACAGTACAGACATCATACTGAAAGTCACAAGAGACAGAAACTCCTTTCTGATCAGATACTTCTATTTTGTTGGTTCCTTGCCTTGAATTCATGGTACTGTTTTCAAGGGATTGATCCAGGACTTGGCAGTTCTCTTCCGTAAAGGAGAAGTTATACATCTTGGATATCTGTTTTAAAATGAAAATGCAGTTTCAAACCTGTCCTAGTGAAAGTTCAATCACAGGAAAGCACAGTGGATTTGCAAGTGCAATGAGGCCAACTTAGCTCAGAATGAAGGGACTAAGAACAGGGTTGTGTTAAACTTCTGAAAGAGCAAAAAGCACAAAGTCTCCCTCTCAGTGCCATTCTCTTAGACCATGAAGATAGTTGAAAAGTTTCTGTCTTATACAGAGAACAAAGAGGCAGCCCTTGAGTTAAACTGGTTTTGTTTCAGAGAGATATTTTCTTTGTTACTTACTTTAAAGCCATTGCCTGAGAGTACTTCTGATCTATGTTTTGAGCATTAAAAGTTTTAAAACTTTTATTTGTAAGTCAAAGAAAATTTTTGCCAAAAAATAAAAAATGTTTTACTTGATCTTCCTACCTTTAGTCGTGGGTAGATGGTGATCACACTCTGATTAATCTCCACATACAGTGATCTTGAGTTCCTGGTTTCTTCATTTAGTATTACAGTGAAAGCACTGTGAACAAAATCCTTGGCAAGAAGTACACTGCACTTAGATGCCAAATCATACATTTTTCCATCAAAAGTCACAAGATGCTTGGTCCCCACTAACATAGCATGATCTGGAGAATGGTATTTCAGAAGAAACATCAGTGAGTTTTCCACAGAGCAGTAAATGCTGCACATACTGCAACACACAGAGCTCTTTGCTGTCATACTCTTAAAATAATTTCTCAATTTATTATTACAGTGACATTATTAAACTTACATTTTAATTAGTTACACTGTAGTTGCTGTGCAACCAAACTTCTCAGAAACAAAATAATTTAATTATTTATTTTTTGTTATAAATTTACCTGAGTTCTATAAAACTTTGATACACTTGAACTGGGATTTAGAGCTCATCTTGATTTGTCATTGTACTCCTTGACAGTCATATTCATAAACACACACACATTATACATTCTTATGCAGAAAACACAAGAATATTAATTCTCAAAAATTGTCTCCAAAAATGACCCTTCCAAATCTGTGAATCAAACAGCTGCAATCCAGGAAACCCTGCTGATAGATGACTCGGATCATTGGGTCACTAGGAGCTACTTTCACAGCCCTTTGTGTACTGGGAGGAAACCATTAAAAAGGGTTTTCTGGAAAAGCCTTTCTCTCTAAGGGACAGTTGGGACGGTTAGTGCATTCCTTTAGCATTTAGCAACACTTTTACAGGCAGTACTGTTGCTGAAGTTTTGGTAGGGCTGAGCTTGCTCATCCTAGAGGCAGCAGAGGTGAAGTCACCAGTTTCCAAGCCTGTGTGCCAGGACAGAGAGCCAGCAGGTGAGACTCACAGTGAACCATAGTATTAGCTCACAAGAGCATACGTGTAAGGCAGATAAATACCACCTGCTGTTTCTTGTCTCAAGAGTAGGAAGTGTAAAATATTACAAAATTTGCATGAATATTAAGTAGAGCAGTGTTACTGCATGTCAGCTTTGCCCAGAGTGTTGATCTTACACCATCACTGTCTTACAAGAGAGACTATATATAAGTTAATGGGAAAACTATTAATTAGCAACCATCTCTATGTAAACTCCTATTCCAGATACAATTTTTAAAATACAGTACTAAGTGGAAACAGACCCAGGTACAAAACCAAGCAGCACTTTGAAAGGGCTTACATTCAAAGGGGCTCTCCATCATCCTCCGTTTGATTCTGTAGTACTCTGCAAGTACGTTGAGATTGTAGAGGTCTTGCAGAGGCCTCATTAGTTTTTCTCCAATGAGGTAAGTGGTAACATTTGCCAGCTGCAGGGACAGGTCTGCTTTAGGTGGTACTGGCAACTTTCCTGCCACCGAGCAGTTCCTGTAAAATACAAAGAGAACACACCCCTTATCTGCTGAACTGATGAAATGCTGTTGGTTTATTATTAGAAATGTTGAAGTGAAATATTCATAAGAACTGTAGTCTGGTTAGAACAGCAAAACACAATCCTACTCCGGCCAAGAGCTGCACTTTCCCAGGTCACCTCAGGCCAGTTATCAGTCACTGATACCCTGTTTGCTGCCCAGTAGCTCCTTTCAAACACAGTTGGTCTGGCAGCCAACAGAAATAAACATTAGGATGTGATGTGACCAAGCAAAGAGTGGTTGGGTGGCTGTCCAGAACCCTGAGCTGCACACTGACAGGAAGAATAACTATGCACATATCCTTTTAGAACACTGCCCAGAGCAGAGATCCTGCAAAAACACCATTTACCTGGGTGAAAAACTGTACAGGTTCAGCAAGGGCTTCCGGATCTTGCTCACAGCTCTAGAAAACCTGGCTTCTGCCCACCTGAGCACCTGCTGTGTAGCCTGTTGAAGAGTCACAGATTATAAAAGCAATTTCAGTATGGCTTCAGGGCAGGGTCAGTACTTGCAAATGAGTTTTAAATCAAGAAATGCAAAATACCATTTCAGTGTCTCTTGCATTTGTCTCCTGCCTGACAGTGTCTTGTTACATAGAGGTTAATAATATCCAGAGGACAGACTCCAGTCACAACAGAAATGGAAATACAGTCTTCCTAAATAACATGACTTAAAGTGTAGCAATGTTTCACTAAGTTGATGTGCTTCCATAGCTTAGAAAGGACTTGTATATTCAATAATATAAATTAGCCTCATTATATATTTTTTATGCTTTTCATTTCAACTAGAAGAGCCCAGATGCATTTGTACACTGTTTATTGAAATGACAATTTCTCCTCTCTTTGCAAGAAAAGTAAAAGCTACATGAATGACAGATTACTGCTGCTGTGATTCCAACCAGAATTAGTAGAACAACCTTTCCTCTAGCCGTAACTCTTTCAAAGCAGGACAAATATTGCAAGAACAGTAAATCAGCTGTGCACAAGCTTATTATGTGGAAAGAACTATTTCCATAAACAAAAATTGTTAATTATTTTTGTGTATCCATAGTTCAAAGCTAAGACTTAAATTTGTAGGCCTTGAATTAGAAATGGAGAACTGACTTATACCTACCATATCCAAGCCTGCTTTCACAACCTTTAATGCCATCTGAATTGGTTCCATTAGCCACACATCTTTTACAATCTTGGGTAAGAAAGCCTGGATTTTCTTCATGTGCTCTTCTGTCTTCTCTTTCCAGACTTCATCCAGTGGCTTCAAGGTTACATCATAGTAGGCGTCTTTCAAAGTTGCTAATGGCTCTGAAGCAAACACATTAATGTGACAAACCATAGCTGGTTTGGTACAAGCAGCTCTTTGCTTGTTTGTTTGCACCCAACTTCCAGCATAAGTGAAGGGGGAGCACAGAAAAGTGGAAGAGGCAGCTGTGTTTGCATGGCAGTCAGGCACATTGCAGAGCTGTGAACTGAAAGAGCCGTTCAGCTCTGGCCCTTACCCCCTATAAATGCATTGCTGCTGTCCAAAAGGAGTGTAAGGGATGCTTTGCAATGTGAACCCATCGGAGCTGTCCTGCACAGGCTGCTCTTGCTGAGCAACAGGACAGTTTGGCCACAGCTGATACCAAACAAATTCAACTTTTGAGAGGGAAGAGCCTAGAGCTAAGTGGCCCTGAGTGAGGTTTTGCCCCTTTGAGAACTGAAGGTTTTCACAGCTAATTCCAGCTGACCACATTTCTCAACAGTTTCAGTATGGGCCACAGTCCAGCTGAACAGTGAATTAGTGGCTACTGGATAGGCTTGGAAAAAACAGATCAAGTGAAATCCAATAAGTACAAGCATTAAAAACTCAAGGAGGGATGTGAACAGCCCTTTGGGAGGAAAGGCTTGCCAGAGAACTGTTAGCAGAAATACTTCAGCTTAGGAATTAAGGACTCTTCTCATCCAATTGAACCCAACCTCTTGTGATGGAGAAAAGGCCTCACCACTGATTTCATTAGAAAAGTGCTCACAGAGAGCCTTCTTAGAGCTTATTGCATCAAGGCCCCACTCTATACACTAAGAGCTAAGGTCAGCACTTCTTGCTAGATCAAAATAGAAACTTTTGTGTTGTTCAGTATGTTTTATAGTTTACAGTGAAGTTTGGTTTGCCCTGCACTGACATTGTCCCTCTTCTTGTTTTGCACCATTTTGCTTACTTTGTAATTCATTCTGCATTTGCTGGACAACATCTTGAATTTTCTCCAAGTAAAGTGGGATCCTGCTTCTCAGAATGTGCTCAATTCCACTTTGCTTCCACACCTGGGTGACAGCTGTAACCCCACTTTGCAGGAATCCTGCTGCCCTTTGCAAGGCTATTGAAGGCCACCCAGCTGCTTCAGACAGGAAACCAACATGCTGCACCTACAGTGGTTCCAAAAAAGAAGCAATTTCAAAACACACAGTGATCTCAAGCAAAGCTTTGACTTCACTCAGAAGCAATTCTGACTCCGCAGTGTTGGTGCAGAGACACACAATCTCCACCATTAAACAAGTTTCTTGTTTCTTACACAGGTGAGCACAGGAGTAATCACTGCAATGCTTGAGCATAACAAAACAGCAGCAGGCAGTATAATGATGTTTAACTAACACTGCATGAACACTTCATGATGTTTTCACACATCATGTACAGATACTTACTGATCTCCTGAATCTCCACAGGTATCCATCAAACTTCTTTATCTTCTCAGTCAGTGTGGCTTTCAAAAGGCTCCCAATTTCATTAAGTTTGTTCTGTGAGAAGATTGTTAAAACCTTGAATTCATTACTTAAAATTGCTTGTGTTGAATCCAAATAATTCAAAGTTTGTACTAGTTTAAAGGCCGGCAAACACCCACAGTGGCCTCACATTTCTTAGGGGAAACTACTTCTACATTATTAAATGGATTGACAAAGGAACAGAAAAGTCAAACGATAAAAAGCCTTCCCCAAGTAGAGAGTATGTGAAACCCTACTAAAAGTGAAAGCACTTTCAGGATTCTAATTATTAGTTTTATAACCAATAGGCTGAAGAGTTACTGCTGCTCTCATTTTATTTACATGCCCTCCTGAGAGGATCCACCCTTTAGAAGAGGGTCCTGTATTCTATATCTCTAGGCATGGCTGAATTTCTTAATTCTCACCGTGGTAACTTCTCACATCAACATGAAAATAACTAAAATATTGCATAATTTTGCCTGGTTATTCACCAAATTTGCCTACATGGAAGGTGCTCCATCAAAATCACAAAATCAAATAATATTCTAGGAAAATAACGCTGCAGTTAACAGCCACTCAAGGGTCTCACCTCAGCCTTAAGAACTGGATCCCCACATCCATGCGCCAGAAAACTCAAACTTCCATTAGCAGCTGCTAGAGTTACTTGTCCCACGTTTTCCTGCCTTCTACCATTTAAGCTGAAATAGGTGTTAATGGCAGCCATGTGTTTCCCATCAGAACAAGCACTGACTTCCATTCCTTCTTCCAAATCCCCTTCAGGAATGAAAAGAGAGCCTTCATTTACAGGAATAACATAGACAGACATTGTTTCAAAGCCAGCTTTTAATTACTTAGGTGATCAATCAGAGCTTGAGTGTGTTAGGTGTGGAGGAAAAAAAACAAAAGAGATAAAAAAGAGACAATTAGATCAGTGTCAGGATTTTATCTCTTTTTGTGTGGCTTGTTAATGAATTACATATACAGATTTCCTACTGCCAAGGAAGCAATGGATTGATGTAAATCTAAATCTCTTGGTCATACTGGTTTACAGGCCTTTTTTTCTACTTCAGTCCTCACTGTCCCTTGTTGCAGATGTTTCAAAAGTGCTCAGCCCTTAAATGAAAGCCTGTCAGTTCCACCCACCACACACGAGTTGTTTCTACAGAAGCACTGATGAGCATAAACAAGTGGTTGGCAAGGTGCATACAGAATCTGGGTTGAGAGAGCTGAGTTGAATAATTTGTACAATCTTCTGACTTCAGTGATTCACAAAAAAATGGCCCTAATTTCAAAAACACCACAGCACATACAGGTGAGGACACGAACCTGAGAGAAACTCCCATGCAGAAGTGTGGAATAGCAAATCCACAAGTGAAACAAGAGCTGGGATTGTCAGCAACATGAGTTTGAGACAACTGGGATACCACCAAATCGATTTGGTTTCCACCCAAATCTGTAGCTGAAATGTGGATGAGCCCCACCTCTTGCAGATCATTTCACCTCACTTTACTCATCTAGATTTTAGGCATAACTTGAAACAATGGCCTTTTTCCCCTCTTGATGCTAGTCAGAGCTGACTGCTGTGAGACAATCCCCTGCAGGCAGTGATTGCATACATCCCAGTTCATACAGCTGTTCCAGCATGTGGTACAGTCAGTCTCTGGAGGTGCCTCTCTCATTTCCTTTATTGAATTTGGAATGCAATGATTATCTTAAACAAGATAACCATTGCATTCCAAACAAGGCACAAAACTTTAAGATGGTTAAATCAAGAGGAAATTATTCCTATCTTTTGTTACCATCAATTGTAATAATACAAAAATGTGTCCCAAACTGAGCTTTGTAACAAATTTTAAACTTCAGCTTTTCTTTATCTGATGAAAGACCATAGCCTGAATGAAATGAGCTAGCTCAGTGCTATAGACACAACTTTCTTCCTGTCTCTTCATAGCAATGACCCTGGGAGTTGCAGAATAGCTCCAGTTGGAAAGGACCCATAAGGATCAAGTCCAGCTCCCTCGTCTTTGCAGGATGACCTAAAACTAAGTCCCATGGCTGAGAGCATGGTCAGTGAGATACCTACCTTGCAGATACCCCATGTAGTACTGAAAACACTCCTTTCCTTTGGAAGCAGCTACTTTTACTTTCTGTTTCTGATCAATAATCCCCTCCACCAGGATTTGGCTCTGGACAGATGAGGAAGCAGCAGTTCCTGTCAGGCCTAGCCAAATATCTTCAAAGGCTCTTAACTGCAGCCATAAAGGAAAAACATTTATTCAAAGTCACCACACAGAATTAATTCAGAGATGGTGCTCAAATATCAGTGCTTCCCACAAAAGGATAAGTGGTGAGGGAAATGTTTCCCAATGCTTGCGTGTAACTATGCGGGAGTTACACTTAAGAGAGGCACAAACATCAGAGTGATTGGCCCAGGAGCTGAATGACTGGATAGCACGAGACTTGTGGACAAAATTTTAATGGAAGAAATGAAAGAAACATAATGTCCCAATCAGTTCTCTGAGAAGCTGCTGATTTGTGCCATTTATTCCAAAACACAGAATGAAGCAAGCTCATGCAGAGCAGCTGATACTCATTTCATCTCCCTCCTCTCTAAAGAGAGAAGAATGGAAAAATAATTTAGTATTTGTTATTGATTAAATCATCATCATAATTTTGTTAAGGGATTATCTATTCTCTCAGTTAGTACCTGACTACCTACATCCCTACTAATGAAGCATTTGGATGGTGCCAACCCTGTTAGTTTTTTGCCTCACTTTGTTGCCTCCATCTGCCTCTCCACCATTTTAATTTCACAGGAAATTAAAAGCAAATGCAAAACAGGGGGGAGGGGAGAGAAAAAGGAAGAGTTTTGTCTCCGAATGAGCATCATATGAGCTGTTTTGTGCCTTTGTTATTTCTTTTCTTTTTTTCGGTTTTGGTTGGTTTTTTATTTGGTTGTTGGTTTTTTTTTTTTTTTTTTTTTTGGGGGGGGGTTGGGTTTTTTTTTTTTTTTTTTTTTTTCTGGCAAATTATGCTTTGTGTAAGCATTGTATTTTGTTTCGCTCTTTCTTCTGATGAACTGAAAACCCCCTACCTCACACAAAATGGCAGTCATGCTTCAGGGGAGTTAGCACACAGCCTCTTTTTTTTTGATTGATACACTCCACTAGAAACACACTTGCTTTATTTGTGACAGCTCTACAGAGAACTAATGTTGGTGCCTTCCTTTGTCTGTCAGTCACACTGCATGGACACTGCCTAACTGCTCCTTTGGAGACAGCACTACAGAAGCCTGGAGGGTTTTATGTTGCCTGCTGTTCTATAGTCACTGCCTGTGCCTGATCCATTTGGGAAATAGGTGGCAGCAGCCCTTTGAAAACCAAACCCCAGTGCCAGTAAAATAAAATAAAAACTCACTTCAATTTCCAGAGAATAGTTCTTCACATCAGCAGTACTCTGATTCTTTATGGATATTCCAATCAACCCCTCATCCCTCCCATGATCAGCAAGGTGGAATCTGCCCTCTGACTGCAAAATGATGTCATCTTTGTTGAGCTGGTGCTTTCCAGATAAAACAATTACCTAAGTATGCACAAAAAAGGTGTTCAAGCTTCCAAATTCTTCCAAAAAAATGGGCTCTGCTTTGAATAGTAAGACGTTGTACAGTGGCAGCATTCTCATGAAATTACACCACAAACAACTTGTAGTTTCAGAAACCAGCACATCTTCCGGCTCCTCACAGCACAGTCTTCATTACATCTTCAGTTTCTGTGCTCTGACAAAGCGTGTTCATTGATTACACCCTAAGACCAGAGGAACACCTGTAGACAACTATATTTTGCTAAAATGTCCAGTGTTTTTTGCTCCTACACTTCTCAGCTACTCTAGCCAAACATTTTGATAAACTTGGGGATACATGGGAGGTCAGGTGAATACTGTCCTGGTTTCAACTAGGATAGAGTTAATTTCTTCTCAATAGCTGGTACAGTTTGGGATTTGGAATGGGAATGGGGCTGGTTACACACTGATGTTTTGGTTTTGTTCAGTTGTTTATCCTAAATCAAGGACTTTTTGTGTGTGTGTGTGTCTCTCCTGCTCTGCCAGTGAGGAGGTGAACAAAAGCCCACCTGGGACAGATGCCCCAACATGACCAAAGGGATTTTTCATACCACAGAATATCATGTCCAGTCCATAAACTGGGGGGAGTTACCTAGAAGGGGCAAATCTGAGTTTGGAAAGAGGGGGTCTGACATTGGGCAGGGGGTGATGGAGCAGTCATATTGTGCATCACTTTGTTTCATTTTTTTCCTTTTCACTATTAGTAGTAGTATAACTATTGTTATTGTATTTTATTTTGTTTTGAATTACTAAATTGTTCTTATCTCAACATACAAGTTTTACTTTTGATTGCCCTCCCCATTCCAGGAGGAGAGGGTAGGGAGAGAGGGGGTTGAATGAGTGGCTGTGGTGCTTAATTTCCAGTTGGGCTTAAACCTTAGAAGGGAATGATCCAAAAATACAGAGGTGCCTGCTTTTGGAGTGACATGCATATACATCCTTTGCATTATAAATAGGTTCTATCCCACCTTGGCCTGGGAAAAAGTTTTCCTGTTGCTAACAGAGCATAAGCTGCTCTGACATAAATAAGGAAACCAAGATGTGTTTCAGCCACTGGAAACTGGAGAGAGACATTTATTACAGGTTCCAAGTTCTGTGTTTGTGAGTCTACAGGCAACTCTGAGGACCAGCATGCACCTAAGGAAGACCATAGGTGGGCTTTCAGTTTATGTATGTAATAGATAAATAAGGTTACATTATGGTTCAAAAATCCATCAGAGCAGCAGAGCAATCATATAAACCAGCAAACGTTTCCCCACAGGGGAACAAAAGCACTTTTACTTGTCTCTAGTCTCCTTTTTGATCACTTAATGAGCCTGTTTTGGTATTCTCCAGAAACATGAAATTAAGATACCTCTGAAAGAGGAACAGTAAAGAAAGAACATGGAGGAAGTGAGAATATTTACAACCATAAAAGGACTATAGAATACACTATAGTAGCAAACAGGACCTTTCTGCTTCAGTCCATCAAATGACACTGTTTATTTATTTAAGCTACAGAAGTATGGTTAGTCTTCTGAAGAGTTGCAGCTGAGGAAAATTAAGTCTCCAAATGATTGATTACATTTAAACTGAAGTAGGTTCAGCGTGTTTATGTCAGACTTACGTTTGGAAGGTCACAGAACTGAAAGCTTGTATAGTAATCCAGGCAAGAGTAGTAGTTTGTTTCTATTTTACCCAGAATTTGCTGTTTGGCACATGGGGTCAGGAAAATATTTTCCAGAACAGCTTCTAACTGAAACTTATCAGGATACAAGAGCTGATTTCTCTGCAATGAACCAAGAAAACAAAAGATGACAGCAAGATCTTAGACACTCCTTGGAGCCCATTCATCCCATCCCTGGGCTGGCTTTTGTTATTTCAGTAGCTTCAGGATTTTCAAGTAACATTTCCAAAACATTACATTTCCATTTGACAATGTTTTGGCTTATCAGCCTTGTTACCGGTCCCCATCCTACAAGTTTTGCAAATTTAGGGCACAGGTGAGGCCTCCAGTTTGTAAGAACCCTTTCTTTCTTAACTATGCTCCATTTAGCTTTCTTTCTGTGTAGAGAAAAACGTAAAAGGTCGTGTGAAATAATGATATTTCACAAAAAAACAGTGCTCTGTAGAAGCTTTCTTAAAATCCACACAACATTATATCTAAAACCAAAATATTTCATCTACTGAGAACAGCTTCCATAAAAATGGCAAGTCAACAGATACAACTGCCTTCTCTTACCTCATATGTAAAATTGTGTTTGAATTTTTTGTCATCCCAGTTCAGATCTAGGTATTCATTAAACAATGTTGGTCTTTGCTCTAGAGACCCACATGCATGCAGGTGTTCCATGCTTAACATTCTCTGAAGCTGGGAAAGTGGAAAAAATTGACACATATAAGTAATTTTTTAAAAAGTGTTCAGTATATCCTCAGGCAGTAGGTTTCCTGGGCAAAACCACACCCTGTGAGAACCCCTGGATGGTCTGTACCCATGAAACCCTGCTTCAGTCTCTCCCAAGAAACCTAAGGGGCTGACAGCTCTGCCCTGAGGGAAAGCTGCAGCCAAGTACAACCATGTCTGGCAATATGAAACTGAATTTTTCACAACATTTATTTTTTCTTTCTCTGAGACATAAAAAGGTTGACTTCAAGGCTTTCATATGGTAACAAGTACAGAAAAAAAAATCATTCAGTGAGGATCAAACACAGAAATTCAGCTACACTTATCCCTTCCAAGGGATACAAGACTCATACCTGGCCTGCAGACAGTGTCACACAGCCAACCCAGGCAGTGATGTCCATCTTGGATTTATCCTCCAGCCCCAGCCAGAGGTGAGCAGGCTGCCCAGCATTCCCTGAGACCTGAAGCTGAAAGCAGAGAAGGATTTGTCCAGCAGCAAGACTAGAACCAGCAGAATGTCCCCATCCAGTGGAGTAAAACAGAGCCACTGTGAAAGCTGCCACAGATCCATGTTCAAACTCTATGGAACTCAGTGGTCTGGAAACTCCAGGCCTGGGACAAACCCAGGGAAGCTGCACTTCTACAACCAAGGCCGTGGAAGGCTTTTGTCACCCTCTCTGGAAGCTCCCTGGGGTCTGTCATGCAAAGCAACTAATGGCACAACTGCAATAATGACCCTACAAGAGAATTTATTCCTCTGAATATGATTCTGGAACCATACTGAGTATTGTGCAACCCCCCCTGAGCCCCAGAGGGCTTCAGATGAACAAACACAGCACAGCTGGCACAGCTGATTGCTGAAAGTCTTCAGCCTCAGCAGCTGCAGTGTCCTGACCCACACAGTGCAGTGTCAGACAGAAATTATACCGTAGTATTTGATCTGGAGGGATTATTTGTGGAGTTCCTCCTCCTTTTTCCCCCCTTTTATATATGCTTTATATTTCAAAACTATAGTTTAAAGCCTTTCTAGTTTTGCACATTTTCACATTTGTGTTGCAATTTCCTATACAGTATAAAAATTTACATTTTCTTCACAGGGGTATCAAAGGGTTTATGTTTGCTTTTATCGTGGGGTTGGGGTTTTTTTGTTTGTTTTTCTTATGTGTGCAGACTAGGAGTTTGTTCATTGCTTTAAGGACAAAATTTGCCTCATTTTCATTGCTTGTCAGGTTCCTGGGCATTTCTGGGTTCCTCCTATCCAGAATGGGTCATTACTAAAAGTGCAAGGTTGTTGGCTAGGAAACAGTGCTGGTGATTTGGACACAAGGAGATAACAGCGCTTAGTGCTCTTTACATTTTTCAAGATGATTTCTGGTTCTGCAGTTCTCATGGACAAAAGGCACACTCACAGTAAATGCAGTATCACAGCTGTGTGTTTTGCAGCCCAGCCTCATGATCTCACCTGCTGGTTGTACTTTCTGCCCCTTCTTTCTGACAGGGAATGCACCTCCAGTTGCTTCAGAGTGTAATTAAAGGGGTGGGCAACAGTGGCTCTGTAGCTTGTCCGGTGTCTTCCAATCTTCAGAGAAGATGACACTGATATCTGATCCATATCAACAGATGGAAAAGGAACTTGTGAAATAAAACACCTCTCACATACTGATCTTAAACATGCACCCAGTAAGAGTTCCCTGTACCTTGACCTCAAATGAATTATGTGCACAATAAAGTCCTTTCTGAAGAAGCAGGACAAATTAATAGTAAAATTAGGATAATTTTTGCTGCTTGAATTCCCTGCATAGAACAGCTCAAAGCAGAACTGCTCTCTGTATTTTACTAAAATAATGAACTTAAGTTTGTTGAAGCTTAATTTTTGATCTTTAGGGACTGCAGGCTGCACTGCCACAGAATCATTGGACATGGCTTGCAAAGTTAAAGCACAAGAAAAAACATTTGCTTCATCAGGAGCTAAATTCTGCTATGTTATTGAAAGCAAAATATTTTCGTGGTGATTTAGATAGTGGCAGGATTTTAATAGTTGTGGTCATTTAAGAAGTAGTAAAAAAATACATTCTACACAACTGCTAAAGTAAATTTTTGAATTTGTTAGCTTTTAACTGCTCTTTGCAGGCACATTCATGTTTATGTGTGGTAGCATACTTTATACATTGTCTTCTATTTTTCCATTATTTAGAAAATAATGTAATACACAACCAAGGTGCTGCATTTTGGATGCACATGTAAAGATAGCACAGTTAGCAGCAAGTCAAGAAAGTGTCCCCATTTAACCACATCTGGAACTCAACCTACCCTATGTTCTCCTAGTTCTGTCTTTTTCACTCTTACACTTTTTAAAAATAGTGATTACTTACTTTATGAAAACAGAGACTCGTTTCAACTGTACTACATTTGTCAGTCTTGCTAATAAGGAGGAGAGTGAAAGAATGAAATACAAAAGAGCTTTGACTGAATCAATAAAGCTGAAAATGCTAAGCAGTATGTGTCCTTTTCTGTGTGGGTAAATCTAGTATTATACCCATGCAACGAGTTTTTCATCCTTCTCAGTCTCAACTAATGCTTACAGTTACTCACTTGTCTTAGATTTCATTTCTTTGTCCATAAGCTGCTTTAAGCATGATATTTGTGCTATTCTTCCCATCTACTATCAGAGGCCCTTACCCAGTGTGCTGTGAGGCTTATGCATTTCATTACCTTTGGTTAAGCAGCAAGGTGTGGGGTTACTGCAAACAAAGAAATACTATGGCCTGAAAACACTTCCTACAAGAATATCAGCTGCTCAGCTTTCACAGTCAGAACTATTTATACATCCAAGAAGGGGGATTGTTTGCCTTATAGTCAAGTTCCCTGGCTTGCTTAGCGCCCTTTTTTAAGAAAAAGTCAAGCAAACAAACAAACAAAAACTCTTGATACCCTCCTGACATTTATTTGCTCTCGGCCACTGTACCTTGTCCTTCTCATTCCAAATGACAGTAAGAACATCCTGGTGACTGCGTGCTGAATGTTTCACATATAAGTTGGCCCAGGCATGCCGTGGAAAAGGGATGGAGAGAGGATGGAGAAGTTCCACTACAAGGAAAACAAACAAGATTTGCCACCAGGAATCATGATCGTTCCCAGGACATTTTCCCACAGGCGGCAGGACATCCCTTGGTTCCCAGGGAAACGCAGTCTCTGCTCACACACACACCCCTACCCAGCAGCCACAAAGAATTCGGTGTGCTGATGCCTGCTCAACAGGAGGAAATGTGAGAACAGGAACCCTCTCTCTATTTATCAGCAGAAAAATAACCAAAAGATTGACAGCTACACCCAGAGCAACTTCAGCAAGAGCAACCAGGGAAATAATCTGTGTGAAACTAAGATGGCCTTACACTGGAAGAGGAATAGCTTACAACACTCAAACAGATAAGTGCAGTTATCTTCTCTATTTTCAGATCATATAGTTTCAACATAAGGGTTTAACACCTCAAGGTAGCAGCCAGTGTGACCAGCGCTCCCTTCAGCACCCAGTACTTAAGTTTTATGTTCCATATTCACAAAGCAGAAAAAGTATTCTGAAATGGACATTTCTAACAGCCAGACCTATAATGAATTTAAAACAAATGAGACCTTAGAAGCCCCAAATTGAAACCGGGATTGAAACCCTTTGGACACGCATTTTGAAATCAGATTTATGTTGTTTATTTTATAGTCTGCTTTGAACACTTGTAAAAGACTTGAGAAACCTACCCTGAATGCCATGACCTCCTGGAAGCTTTGGGAAGAGTCCAGTGTAAGTGCCTGTTAGCTTTATCTCTTTGCCATCCCACAGGGCAATGTGTCTCAGCAGATGAGTTCTGTTGCCTTTTTGGTAAATTGTCACCAACACAAGTTGCCTTGGAAAAATTTTTAACTAAAAAAAAAAAAGAGGTAAACATTAAACCCCAAAGTCCTGTGGGGTCTGTAGGAATGTGTTTTTAAAGGTCTAGCAATGTTACTCTAAGCCCACTGCTCTCGTACAAGCAACTATTTATTTCTACTTGTCTTCATTTCTACAAAAGTTGTCTTTGTCTTTATCTCACAGAATAAACCTTACAACATCAAGAGTCCCATTATCACAGAATAAATCCAGCAGATAGCACAAACAACAATAGGTATTTGTGACCTCTCTTCTTATTTAGAGAAAGAAATGTGTGGTACCTGCATTATAAAAACTGGTTCAGTTTGTAGCACATTATTTTTCTTATTTCCTGTAAATCCTACATGAGTGCTCCATCTATAGGAGCAAACAAATATAAACTCAAACTAATCCACAGTAAAATGTTTGCTCATGCTACTGGAGAAATCAAGGGCAAAACACCTCACACAGCAGGAGCTGCATTTGGCCTTCACTGCTTGGCAGCCATCCCAAGTGCCCTCCTGTCACAGCCTTTGCTACCAGTGGATGGTACCAACCTGGGTCATGGTCTGTGTCACTTCAATGGCATTAGTGTAGCTGCTTCCAGTCAAAGTTAGCTTTGCTGAAACATTGAAATCCCTTTTTTCCATCCTGAGGTAGAGTTTGCTTTTTGCTTCACTCATATCATAATTTACCTTTTCAAGTTCCCATTAAAAAAAAAAAAAAAAGGAAAAGAAAAGACTAGGATTGTTAACATTTTTAAAAAACAGGAACATCCTCAACAATAACAAAAATGTTAGAGATACTAGTACTAGAAATAAAGCAGATTGACTCCTAACATTAGACAAGTCTACTTTGCAGTGATGTATGCAATGGATTACTTGCAGATAATTACCTTAGAAGACAGTTGTGCTGCACAAGGGAAGTACTGTAGAAAGAAGGGATGAGTCTGGAGTGCTTTTATATTCAACTCTTCACTAAAGGGAAGAAATGTTCTCTTGTTCAACAACATTTCAGAAAGTCAGCTCTTGCAGGCAGCACAAGTTCATGTGAGTTAGCTCCAAGTACCTGTCACTGAACACTTACCCAGCTCCCAGTTTTTGATGCATTCACACAAAATGATCACCTCTGAGCTCAATAAAAAATCTGTGTATGCATCCCAGGGACAGAATGTAGCCCACTGGACCAGAAATCATTTTGCCATAGCAAATACATCAGCTTTTGAAAAATGAGAAAGGTATTTTGGAATCTGACTTTGCAAGCACTGTCATGGTTTATAAACTTAGAATTTACAATTATTAGAGATTTTAACAGAACTTGCAGGAGTGTTTGGTGTGACTACTCACTTTATCCAAGTTTTGTTATCTATTTCACCAGTGATTTGGTGATTTATACAGTAACTGTATTCTATGGAAATCACAGTAGCCTGATGGCATTTTTATAGTGCTCAGAATGACCCTTTTACCCTTGCTGGTCTTTTTTCCTACTGATGGAAAAGGAGAAGTTTTTGTTTTCTTCATAGGTCAGCCTCAGAGCACCTTCAGTTTCATTTTCAGTCATGACTTCTTGAACTGTCATCTGTGGAGGGGGAAAATAAAAAAATGACATGCCGTGACTTCTGCCCAGTATTTCACCTCAACTGAGCACAATCTCTTGACTCACTTAAAACCATCATCTTCACTGAAGTTTATCTTCCAGACAGGCCTTCTGGATGCTTCCTAGGTGTAAATCAAGAGCCTCATGAGAGGTTTTCCTTTTTTTGTGTGTGTTTCCATAGCTACTCATTTGCATTATTGGCAAATATTAGTGTTACTTTCAATGTACCCTTATCTGGTTTAAGTCTAAAGCTGCTGGGTGTTGTTTATGCCTTCCACAATCACAATTTTATGTCTCATATACCAGGAAGAAATGGTGCTTTTTTTTTTTTTTTTTTTTAAAAAAACAGATGAGGTTCCACCAAGTTTTTGCTCCAGGGCATTCCTCCCACAGCTGCTGCATCATCTACAGCCTTATCCTGAAAATGCTAAAGAATCTCTCTGGGAAAGATGAGGGCCATTTCCCACACTTCAACAGCAACACTGGTATTAGACAAAGTCTGTGGGAACAGTAATTTCTGAAGTCCCCTGGTTATACTCACACCTTATAAATTAATAAGGCATCTCAAGAATTACCATCTCTGCTTTTCTTTTTTTTTTTTAATTCAAATATTTAAAGGATAAAAGACATTTCACTAAATATTAATGGGGAAGTGAAAATATCTTATACCTTACTATAAAAGGTTGGCAGTAAATATTCCCTTGAAACACTAATACTTAATATGCAGGTTTAATATTGATCTAATGTTTATGTTCAGGAAAGCTGACCTTTAGTCTTGCATCCTAGCTACATGTCCTGTTATTTGAAGATAAGGTGGTGGATCACTTGGAAATGTTTTTCTGTGTACTACCCTTCAAAAGGGAAAGGGACATTTCAACTAATGCTTCCTTCTCCTAAGGGATAAACAAGTATAGCCTATGTTGATCCTATCAAGTAGTTTGGAATATAAATCTACTTCTGTTTATTCAACACTGAAGCATTTTAGGTATTTGTGCTACAAGTGGTTTAACCAAGGCAAAGAATTATCTAGATATAGAGGACAGCTGTTTTCTATCAAAAGTTCTTTCCACTTCTGTGAGCCCTATTAGCAGCAAAGTGATAGTAAATACATGCCTTCCTGACATGATTAACCCTGAAACTGGGGATTTCAGATACCTGACCAGGTTCCTTAGAAACAGACCACTAGCTCTGTACTTAAGCTAAACGAGGATTCAGATAAACTGGACCAAGTCAGCTCTCAGCTGCATTTGTATATAAACCTGGAGTCATTTTACTAAGGCCACTGGAAGTGCTCTGGATTAATGCAAATGTAACTCAAGTGACAGCTTTCATCCAAGCACAGCAAAAGTTTTGTGGTGCATTACCTTAAGAAAGAAGGGAAGTCCCAGGTGATGGAGAAGTGATATTGAATGCTTCACCTCTGCCACGAACACAAATATACCAAAGAGTTCAAAGTCTGTGTCAACATCCACAGTCACAGTTATATCTTTCTCATCATATTGGATTTCACAAACAGTCTTGGCTTTGTTTTCTATACAGAAGGGACAAAATAGCGCCAATTTGAGCAGCTAATTTTTGAGTAATTTCTGTACTGCCTGTATAAAATCAACCCAGACACCTTTTAGCTTAATACATTCATCAAGACAAAGTAATCATTCAAGATCACAAGAATCTTTGGCCTGTGGTTGGAGGGCAGAGTTTTTCTGGATGTCCTTGAACTTTGTCCTTACAAAGTCTTGTAGTAATAGAGCTTGTGTACATGCATCCAGTGTTAAGTGGCAAGTTAGTTCCTGTCAGGAATGTGTTTGTGCAGCTAGAGCTGACTAATCCATACAGCCAGCTGCATCCCTGGCCTGCAGCAGCCTCTTCCAGGGAAGAGCTCTGAGCTGTTCTGACCTCCAGAGACTCCTTTGAGTCCAGCTACCGCAGCTCAACAATGCCCAAAGAGCATGACCTGAATACCTTTCCCCACTGTCCTACCAGCTTTTCATTTTTGAATAGGAGACTGCTAAAAGATCAAAATGAGATAAGAGATGTGAAACTCCACAAATTCTTTACGACAAAACCCGCAGAAATGGGGGGTTTTTGGTCGAAATTACATGGTGACTGTGGCTGTCCTGAGAATGACCTCTTGTCCTGTTGTTTTTTTCTGAATGGGTGAAAGGAGATGATGCCACTCACATTAGTATTGATTGCTAACCTCAGTAATTAGTGCCTGCTAACCTCAGTAATTTCTGCCCTGTGGTGCTCTCACAATTGTTGAGTTTTCTTCAACATGAGTATATTCTCCTGGGGGTACTTAAGGTACCTGATCACAATGTAAGAGAGAAATGCAGATAGGATTTATGCCAGGGCAAGTTTTAATGGTAGACTTGCTTCATCAACTAATTGCAGATGCAGTTTCAGAATGACAATTTTACTTACAAACAAGATAAAGCCTCCTTTTAGGTACTACCAGTAAATCTTAGTAAGCTTGTAGCTGTTGAAGGAACAGCTGAAACTTCATCATAGAGCTATTAGAGAATAAAATCCCTGCCAGGAATGGCAGGTACCCACCTGATTTCTGTAAACTGAAAATCAAGTTGATTGCCTTAGGGTAGCCAGATGCCTGGAGGACCTCACTGCTGTGCACACTCTGGCAGAAGAGATCCACTTGGTGGCCAACATAATAGGAGTTTATTATGTATGTGATTGATGTTTCTCCAGCTACAATGTGCACATATCTCTCTTGAGTAGGGTTTCTCCCTTGAAAAACAACATCTATCTAAAAAGGACATGTAAATATAAGTTCTCAAAACAATATTTAAATAATATTTAGTTTTAAGACAGGAGAAAATGGAAGTGAAAGAAAGGTGTGTCTAGTGTATACTAATGTCAAAATCTATCCATTAACAACATATCTTTTGGCCTTTCATTAATCATCTTTGACTTTCAAGTATGAAGCTGATTCAACTAAATGAATGTCAAGCCCTGCCAGCCTCACTGATCAATGACAAATTTTCATTAGGTTCTTTTTTATCCCACAAACACAACTTCCTTCTTATAAAGGATACTTAATATACACCTACTGAAAATATTTACCAGATAGTAGGTACTCCAATACTTCTCTGAAAATAGCACACAAATACTTCTTTCAGTATAAAATTCCCATTCGAGAGCAAAGGGGCAGTACTCCAGTTCCTGGTGCAATGTGCTCAAGCTGTCCTGTAGAGTTACAATATCAACAGCACCCACTCTACTACCACAGATCAGAATGGAAGAATCTCATTCAGAAAGCAGTCAAGGAGAAACTTTCTATTTCAGTAGTTCAGGTTTTAGGCATCCAGAGTTTTTAAATACCAGAAAGTCTCAGCTTCCCTCCTGTACTTTACAAAATGGGAGTTTTCATTCAAGCCATGAGCTTGAATTACATCCTTATACAGGACAATAATTATAATTAAAAACAAACAAACAAGACAACAAAACCCCAAAACTACCTGTAAAGATGATGGGACTCTGGCTTGTAGCAGCCATGGCAAAGAGTGATGGAAATTCCCTGTTATGTTGGTACTTGTTTCAAACTCCTGAATTTGTCCTTCAAGAACTGTTTGGTGAGCACCATAAAGCACTTTCAAACTAAAGCTCCTGGTGACTTTGAGGTTCAAGATAGCCTGCATGCAACAAAAGTAAATTGTCAAAAACCAGAATTGTAAAAGTTAGAACTCCTGCTGGTCAGGGCTCTTTCTTTGGTTGAGACAGTATAATCTCAAAGATGTGTCAAAAACACATCTTGTATAATTTCATAACACAAAACAATAGTTATAAATGTCCCTTTTATTTTAGAACTCAAACATTTAACATGTATTCTCAAGTATGGCCATACTTTAATGCTATTCAGTTATATGATTAATAAGTCTTGTGTTACTCAGATAAAAAAATATGCCAGGTAAGCACAGTTCAGAAGGAAAATACCATTTGGAAAGGACCCAGTAAAATACCAGCAGTGCTCCCCTCTGCCCTGTGTGTCCAGGGGACACTGCAGCTCTGTCAGACACATAAATGCAGTGCCCTCCTCACTCCACACCAGGAGCAACCTCCAGCCCCAGGCCTGTGGAAAGTTCTGATCTAAACTATTCTCTCACGAGAACAAACTGAGCTTCTGGACACCCCTCAAGAGCAAAGCGAGCACCTGGACTCCCCTTCACCAAAACAGCAAATGTGTTAAGTCCCATCTACACCCGCTGCTCTTTGCCATCTCACTTCCCCAGATGCTGTCCCCCTCGTGCCATGGCTCCAGGTTGATAACCTACCTGCAACTCAATCCTGTCTTTTATTTGCAAAGTCTTCAATGTGTCTATGTTATGAATAAGTTTGTAGTTAAGAGACACAACATCCAACTTCTGGACAAAGTTCAGTTCTTCTGTAATCTGTTCAATTCAAGTAAATATGACAAAATTAACTGTGGAACATCTCTGACATGGAGGCTTCTCTGAGTAACTGTAATCACTGGACTAATTACACACTAGAATAAAATTATGAAAGCTATGAAAACTTTATGGTGAAGAATTATCTACTTTTTTTAGAAGTCACAGCTTTGTACTGTAAAAGGGAATATGCTGCACCAAATGAAGATTTTTGATAAGGAAGATTTGATATAGTTTACAAACAAGAGTCAAGGATCATTGCTGATGTCAAATTTGTTGCAAGGAGTAATTGCACAGAAGGGCTGGCTGAAAGATACTGCTTTAATTTAAGGCCTTTAGAACTAACCCAGCCCTGGCAAAGTATTGCATTTGGATTGCCTGCAGAAACAATATTTACCAAATCAATTAGCTCACTTCAACTCCTTTTTCCCGTATTACTGATATGGAGAAGACACTTACTTGCTTGTTGTTCACACAGAAATTAATAAATCCTTTATAGAAGTCACTATTTTTTTCTGATACCACATCAAGTAACATCCTCATGGGAATGCCAATGTCAGCAGCTCCTTGGATGTTATGGGTTAGCACCACATCCAGCTCTTGCCTTTCCTGTTAACAGTTCACAGCACAGAGAGCAAAGCACATGTAGAACCCAGAGATCGCTGCAATACAGAGCTCAAACCAGAAATCTGTCTGTCCTACATGTAACATGAATTAAAGTCCCACTAGCTATGTTGTTTCCCTATGGCACAAAAACAAGCAGAGATGACCAGTTATGGCAGGAAAGTGAAGCACCTTGAGGAAACAGGTACTTGTGCTGTTCTCTGTTCTCTTGCTCTGATGACAAGAGAATCCAAACTTGTAATTGTCAACAGAAAAACAAGAGATTCACAGCCTTCCCTGTGTTGCTGTCTCACTGAATAAACAAACAGCAGTGTCTCAATTAATCATTGCTTATTATTTTGCAGGGTAAATCACAGTGATGTAAAGAACTGTAGAATACAAACAACAAACATTCACATATAAAGAGCATAGCAAGGAAATTATTCAGGAAGTGCCAGAGCCTATATCCTATTATCCTATACATCAGTTACTGCACATTGAAGGTGCCAGATTTTCAAAGATTTTATTATTTAATTTTTATTCTGGCATTTATTACTTAAGCTTGACTATTTGTTCCAAATAACATAGGTTAGAATACATTACTCAGTACCTTGTTCACACACTCCAACAGTCTGCAGGGTACTCACATCAGTGACTTTTAGTATAAAGAGTCCTTGGAATTTACTTTCATCAACTGTGATCAATGTCTGTGAATCTAGGTTCATCTTATCCATCAAAAGATAGCCCGAGCCATCAATTTTCATTGGTGCTCCAAGAGCCTGTAAAAGAAAGAAAAAAAATTAAAAATCACCACTTTTGCACTTAACCACAAATACATTTTCCCTCTGAAACTTAATTCCTAATAGCAACTTTAATCACCTAGCTGTGAAATCAAGTATATCAGGCAGCATAGGCACAGGATGTTTCAGAAATCTTGAGAGTTCTTTAATACATTTTATAAATGCTGGTTTTTTTGTTTTGAATATGTCTGATTATTATTGACAAATGAGTCAGCATAAATAGAACACTGGACAATGTGGTAGCTCTTCCTGCCTAAATGGAAAGTTAATTTATATTCTATGCTTGACATTGTCCCAGTGGCCTGAAGCATCCATAAATTCAGTTAAACCAGACAGTATACATAAGTTTATTATGGCAGTTCTGTTTTTGGAAAAGGGCAAGTGAATCTCATCTTTGTATATTCAGATTTGCCCTGACTTGCATATTGAACTCACAGATCATAATGTGATAACATGTCTCTCAAACTTTCCATACACTGAATTTTCTGACCTGAAGATTATCTATTTACTTCATATATTTTTAAACTGTTGCAGTTTGTTTCTCAAACTGCTGAGAAACTGTAATCGCTTATAAAGCTAAAGACAACTTTGAATAATCATTATTTCTGAACAGAAAAAACCTGCAGAATTTTCAACCATGTTTTAGAAAACACACTGGAGCTAGTACAAGCAAGTCCATTATCTACAGGTACTGATTAAGAGAAAATTTGGAGTATGCCATATGAAAATACAGGGAATAACTGGCTCCAGAAGTAAGATACAGGATTTAAAGAGAATGCTTTTCTTATTTCTCTGCAACCTCTTTGAAACACTTAGTTATTGTCTTTTGACTTTTGCAAGTACAAAGGTCCTAGCTTAGATGTATAAATTCAACATTAAAGGAGAAAATTATTTTCCATACCTGAATTGTTTGGCATTTGTTTTCTATAATCATTTTCCACTGCAGGTTCTTTTCAGGGTCAAAGTCCCCATTCATCTGAAGTTCACAGGCACCCAGTTTCATTCCAACTCCAAGAAGATACTTTAAGTGTTTCCGTGCACTGATGGACAGCTCATTTTCCCTTGGGATTTCCTTCAGCTGGGGGAGGTCATGCCTGAATTGAATTTGCAGAGCCATCTTTGCCTTGCACTCTGCTCTCACTTCAAGATGGGCAGTTTTGCCTTCTGTTTCCAGGACAGAGAGCAACTCTGCCTGGCATTTGTCTTTCTGAATGGATCCTGTGAGCCGTGACTGAGTTGGGAAACTGAAATCCTATCAAGATTTAAATAAAAAAATCCTTTGGAATATTACAAACACTTTAAGACAAGTGTGTATTATATACAATATCAGAGACAAAACCTACAATCTCCAAGTTGACATTTTTCTCCCTCTCAACAAGAAAGGTGATTTTTCCTGAATAGGACCTGATGCAAGATTTAAGGGTTCTCCTGAAGAATTCACAACTTCTGCATCTTTATGAAGTTTAATATTTACAAAAAATATAAAATACCTGTTTCTTCAGATTGGCAAAGTTTACTAAACATTCTATACTTCGTCCAGACCACACCAATCTCAGTTTTCAAACAAATTAATGTACAAAAATCATAGGCCTAACAGACATCCTTGCATCTGATTGTAGAAGGTTTGTTTTTTTAATAATTAAACTTCCTACTTGTCTTGTGCATCATCCCAAATGAAAGGTTTCTTCCCGTTCTGTCAAAGAATTTCTAAAAACACTGAAAATTCTACTATTTTTAATACTTGAAGGGGTTTTAATTCCCTTTTCACAACTTTCCTGTCATTTTTATGTTGCCACTTTGTAGTTGAGGAAGTTACTCAGTTTGAGGATTTGAAAGCAAAATATAAATTCCTATGAACATCTAGGAAAAAAACCCTGATTTTGCAATAGTCATTCTTTCCAATGTAGTCAGTAAGACTAACTGGAAAAAACAAGGAAGTTCTCTTTTGGTGTAATTCTCAGAGACCGGGGAATATATTTCTGACAGAGTTCAGGCTAATATTGCTGTTCAGCCTTAGAGGGCACTGTCGGCCTGAGAAGGCAACAGTCAGCAAAGGCTGAACTGATCTCAGTCTCAGAGAGCACCTGGGAACAGGATGTGTGAGACACTGCCTTTGCCAAATGCTGTGAGACAGGCGTGCCTTTAGAGTGCCTTCCCAACACTTCAGCACTGTCATTTTAGCTAAAACCCACAAGCCCTTCATTTGATCCCCAAACTCTCTTTAAAAGCTTCCCAGAGCTACCTGCAGAAGCTGACATTCTGTTTCTGTTTCCAGTGTCCAGTCAGCTTTATTCTGAACACAGAGATCCCCTCTAGCCTTCAGTCTGCATCTGCCAGCCTGCAACAGGAGAATGACCTCTGTGGTGGAGTCTGTGGCTGCAGAGAACAGGACTGAGTTTTCAAAAGGCAGCCCAAGCTGGCTGAGCCAGGGAAATGAATGCCTGAGCATCCCTTGGAGTGTATATTCATGCTGACAGGAGGTGTCTATCTGCACATCGACTGCTCTGCCATCACACTGCAGGTTCATTAACAAGCCCACATTGCAGATGTTCTGTTGAAATGAGCCCCCCAAGGCTGCAGCACGAGGCAATCCCATCCTCTGCAACAGAAAAGATTACACAGTTTAGAACACACAAGGCAAAGCAACTGTCTTCCTCATTTGTTCCTAATTCATGAGAAAGTATTCCTTCTTTCTGAAACAATCTGCATTTGGAAAGGACCATACAAGACATCTTATTTCATAGAGAAATCAGAAATTTATCTGTGAAAAAGATGAAAAAAAATGGGGGGGGGGGGGGGGAAAAAAAAAAAATCCTTGAATAATTTTTTCACAACTAATGTAGAAGAAAAAAATCTTAACTTCCACAATTCCAAACTGAAAGGACATGCTTTTCACTAGATTTTAGGATAAAATTTTATTTTAATTAATAAACTATTATTAAACAACATTTTTATGGCAATAGCAGTAACACTGCTATTGTATTACTCCAGATTATCACTTCCCCCTGCAAGTGCTCTGACTCATTGCTCTGTCAGAACTTTAATGACCAAATTTGGCCTATTCATAAATGTGCCAGGAGACAGTTTTCTGTGACTCAGTGATCTGAAGTACAAAGACTGGAAGGGCATGCAGAAAACAATCTGGGCTTACCTCTAGACTGACACACTTGTTTCTAAAAGCAAGTACCCATCCTGTCTCATTGCTTGCCAGGCTCACTTCCCCATCAGCTTCCAAAGTGCAAGGCCCAAGGACAATACCAAGGATGCCCTTGTACTTGTCACTTCTCATGGCTGACACCTTCAGTTGGTTCTCTCTGGCAATTCCCAGAGAATGAAGTAAAGGCAAAGAATGCTGGAAGTTGATTTCTAAATGAGGATGGATGTTACTGGTGGCGTAGAGTTGCAGGCAGGCAAATATATCATGAAAAGAAACATGTCCAAAGAGGATGACAGTAAAGTTGCTGGTAAATATTGACCCATTCAGTGAAACTCTTGCTGGAGTCTGAAAAATTACAGAAAACTGTCAAGTTTGCTTTCCTGTCAGGTCACATACTGTTTTTAAAAGCTCATATTAGTAGAAGAGAACTGTTCCCTACACAATTTTGTATTCATCCCACATAATTATAAATGCCAAAACAAATGGAGAGATGGACTCAAATCTTTATTTTGGAGTTCCACAATAGAAATAACAGGAAGAAAACCCAAACCAATAATTAATGAAAATATTTGAAAGTGCACACAAAGCTTCCAGCAAGCTGAAATCCAATCTCTACATGTCCAACACTGCCAGTACTCAGATTCCCTCCATAGTAGTTAAGACACTATGCTGTTTAGAGCAAAGTTTATAAATGAAGTGAGTACCTCAAAATGATGAAATGCAATTGCACCATTGCAATGGCCAGAAAGCTGTTTGTTAGTAGATTCTCCACTGCAAGCAACCTGTTGATGTTGTCAATAAAGCACATTCAGAGAATGAAGAAAACCAGGGAAGACTAAAATTCAAGGGAGCAAGTTACAGGGCTGCTTTAAGGATCAAATAGATGAAGGCACCAAAACATAGATTTAATTAAAACAGAGATTTTAACATCCATTTCGAAAAGATCAACAGTTTAGTGTTTACTGCATTGAATACATTACAATATATGACAGGATTTCTGCAAACCTCTAGTACATGTGGAACAATGTCCATCAGTCCTCCCACATTATGGCGAAGTAAAAAAGAAACTTCCATAGCAGTGCCAGTGGTTTTCTTCTCTATTTCAATCTTGAGCTGCTCTGTCTCCACTGTGGTTGTTATCCCTGCAGCAATCTTTTTGGAGAAATTCTATGCACAAAAGAAACCAAATCATGGAAACAAACAAACAACAGCATCCCAGCAACAACTGGGAATGGCAGAGTGTGTTGCACTGTGCTTAAACATCACAGCCTGTGTCAGGGTGGCAGCACTGGTAAAATAAAAGTGCAAATTCATCAAGGCATTTCAAATAGACATTATAGTGTTATGCCAGACCTTCTAAATGCAGTGTATCAATAATTCCTTCTGGCTCCAAAACATATTGAGAGCATTCAAGTACCCTGAGCATTCAAGTACCCTGAGCCCTCAGGCACAAACAATTAAAGCACTGCAACTACTAAAAAGCAAGGCAAAGGAACTGTTTAGAATTCGTTCTCTGCACACCTCTGTCTCTCACCCTACCACAGCTGTTGAAGCCACCCAAATGTAAGCATGTGAGTGACTTGAGTTTTGCAGTGGATGTCTGAAATAGCAAAGTATTTGAAGCCTTCTTTTATGAAAAGATAATCTGTGATGCAAAAGAGCTGTAAAGTTCACGGATCTATAGCAGAAATGCAGATAGAGAGAACTGCAGCCAAGCAACATCATACAAGGAATATGGTCCATAATGCTTCTGTGGGTAGGAATTTCCAAAGGGAAAGCCATGCTAAACACTGTTCTGCTCTTTAGCAGCCATCCAGAAGATGACACCAGGACCAGTTAAATCCAATACTAGATGCAAGCCTTAGGCCTGCTGGTCCACTTCCCATTTATAGGGGAAAGACAAAATTGGACAAGACATATGTTCATACAGAGCAAAGCACTTCACTTAAATGAGTACTGAATGTAGCATCTCATTTAGTCTAGATTCAGCTCCAAGAGCTTAGATGACAGCTTCACAGTATGACAAGGAGCCAGACAACAACTTTCCTTCACTCAGTAATTTAGTACATCTCAAAAAGCAGCTTCTAAAATAAATATATACAGTACACAGGAAAAGCCTAGAATTATTATATATACACAAATTGTCCTACCAGAAATCAAACTTTCACAGGCAGAACTCTTCTTACCTCATAATAGCCAGCAGCTTCTAAAACAAAAGGGAACCCATGTTTCTTTATCTTTGAGATGTTGTGCTTTAAGCTCACAGATATCTGGAATGTTGGAGGCTCTGTGGCCAGTCTGTGCCCCTCGAACACAGCAACAATCTTCTCACTGCCACTCTGCAGGGCTATGGCAATGGTGTGATTTCCTGTGCCATGCTCACGTGTGGCACTAAGAATGCCATCCAAAGGCAACCCTATTGACAGGGAAGGAAGTAAAATCAACACAGCACTTCTGGATTATCATTACAGCCTACAAAAATGCATTGCAGATCAAAAGCAGCCTTCTGTAACTTTTCATAAGAAAAGACACACCTTTATAAAGTGTGATCACTTCACTGATATTTATAGAAAGACATTACCTACCAGGTGAAAATCATATTGAAAAGGGACCGCTAAATTAAAATGTGGCATACACTTTGGAAATTAAGAACTTTCCTTTTCATAATAAAGGATATTTACCAATTGGTATTGTTTCCAACTCCAGTAGTTAGCTGTTAACAAGATTCAGAAAATATTTATTCTGTCCAAAAGAATCCATGCAAAATTACTGATAACTCCAGTTCAATGAAAATCCATGGCTTTGCTTAGGAAACAACACTTGGCATAAACTATACTTAGAGGAACTGGTCAGCTTAGATGCTGTGCAAGAGCACAGTTGTACAAGAGAGAAATAATTTACTCTGAAGTATTTCAAAAGTCTTTGAACTATTTCTGTGTCCATTTTATGGTATTTTCTCAACAATATTAAAAAGAATGCTGCTAGGTTTAGCACACATTTTGTTCTGGTGTGAGCAAACCCAGCTCATCTGTTTCCAATGGTCAGCAGTCATTTAGATAAATTCACCTTGTTAGATCATATCATCAAGTCAGATTTTCTTCCTACCTGCATTTTTTAAAAAGTCGACATTATGTGTGAAAGTCCCACTGACTTTGCCGTGCCCATTATCCATGATATTGAAAAAATCTACAGAAAGAGCCTTCTCATCCACCTGGAAGCTAACTAGCCCCACTTTCTTCTCTTTACTCAGTTCCAGGTGTCCTTTCAGTCTTGCCTCCCCTGGGATTGCCTGACTGCCATTCTGAACGATGGCAACAGTGATATTGTGCACAGTGGTATTCCCAAACACATTCCTGTTCCTGACATGCAGTCCATACAGTCTTTTGTTGACCATCACACTGATGTTACCTGTAACAGGCAGAAATTATTACTGTGGAGAGACATTCTTGGGACAGAAATAGCCACAGTTTTAGAAGTAATGTATAAATTAACCATTACTTTAATACCAGGAGGAATTAGAAACATTTCCATTTATTACTAGATAATTTTGCCTAATCTAGAGAGCAAAGCAGTTCAGTGTTGAGGGTTTCTCTACTAGTGAGTGTCTGTGTTTAAAATAAATTACATAATAGTATTTCTGGCAGCTGTTCCTTTTTATTCATCAAGCTTCTTGTGCCCTTAGGCCTTGTACTATACTGCACTCCCTCTGAAGTAAAATTTACAGGTGGCTTGTGAGTTACTACTTGTGTAATTGCAGGCTAAACAATCCCTCCAGAGCTCTGCAGTGACTTACTCCACCCATGGAGCCATTCAAAGGACTAGGAGTCTCAAGTCAGCCCCTACATTTCAGAAGAGGAAAGAGGCCACCCACTGTTTCCTTTAATCTATGAAAACATGAAAAATTGTTTGTTCACTGAAAAATACTCTCAACCCAATGACCCATGGTTCATTTTGCCTGCTAAGTACTCTGCTCTGCATTATACAGAATCACAGAATGGTTCAGGCTAGAAAAGACCTTAAAGCCCATCTTGTTCCAACCTCTCTGCCATGGGCAGGGACACTTTTTCCCCTGTCCCAAGCTGTTCAAAGCCCTGTCCAGCCTGGCCTTGAACATTTCCAGGGATGGGGCATCCACAGCTTCTCAGGGCAACCTGTTCCATTGTCTGATCACCCTCACAAGAATTTCTTCCTAATATCCAATCTACACCTGCCTCTGTCAGTTTGAAGACATTCCCCCTTGTCCAAAATGCTTCTCCAGCTCTCTTGAAGCCCCTTTAGGTACTGGAAAGGCTCTAAGGTCTCCCTGGAGCCTTTTCTTCTCCAGGCTGACAACCCCAACTCTCCCAGCCTGGCTCGAGAGCAGAGGGACTCCAGCCCTCTGATCATCTCTGTGGTCTGCCCTAGACTTGCTCCAGCAGGTACACATTGCTCTACTGTTGGGGGCCCCAGGGCTGAATACATTGTGCAGCTCAGGAAGGATTACATTAAAATTAAGCAGCGTCCTTGGATAGCTGCAGGTTAGAACAAAACACAAAGGAACAGAGTACCATCGTGAACGTTGTTTTTGCACTTCAGTAATCCATCCAGAGAAAGGAGATGAGGTATGGCTTTTAATCCAGTAAAAGTGTGTTGGACTCTTCCATTTAGGGACAAAACAAAACCAACTTTCTGCTCCCTGGCTCCCATGAAATCCATGTGAAGCCTATTTTCATTAAGCTTCAAGTCAGAAGACAACAGAAGTCTAAAAAGACAGACATAAAAATTGTTAGTAAGATATTTTTATGGTTGATTCAGGATTTTCAAGACACCCCTCCTCACTCAAAGCATAATCAATGAGAGCAGGGTGCTCAGGAGTGTATGTGGTCAGGTTTGGAGTATCCTCAAGTATGGAGACCCCACAGACTTTCTGGACACTCATTCCAGTGTTTTGAATCAGGCAATCAGATGCCTTGCAGTCAGCACACGCTATTTACCAGATGTTTATAAATTCCTCAATAAAGCTGCACACAGATTGGCAGACTAATTTTTCTTTAAATTTCTTGAATGCTTTTGTTATGGTTCCTAAAAGAGCTGGAGAGACTTTGAGTTGGAAACTAAACCTTCTCTGTCACAATATGAAATATCTTTGGTGCTGATTTAAAAGCAGAATTTGAGAATTCAGTTTAAAAAATAATTATTAATGTCACCATTATTTGAGTTTGGCAAATGAAGTAGCAATATTTCTTTGCATTTTGGCCCTGAATTGAACTGTGTTGGAAAAACACAGCACAGCTTTTTAGGGAAACCTGCTGGAGCAACAAAATTTTGTGTTGTTAAGTATAAGACTGAGACACAATTTTCACATGGCCTTCAACAAACTATCCATTGAACTATCTGACTTTCTAGCCTGAAGTATACTACACAAAATACCTAAAAGTGAGGCAATCACTCCAGTCTTCATAGTGTTAGATATCCCTCCTAGAAACTGGAACCCTGTTGAAAGACTGATGCAAGTAAAACCTCAGTGAAAGTCCACTCCATGGGAAGAACAAAACTACACAGTTCAAGGAAGTAAGGTTTATTCCCTCAGTCAGCAGCTGAAGTCTGTACAGACTGCATCCTTTTAGCTATTCTCCAGAAACATTTTACAGTTTATTTTTGTTTGTATCCTCCCTGTAAAACAAACCCTAAAAAAATTGTCGATCCAAAAATTTTAAGTGTTCTGTTTCTTTCCTGTGAACTGCAACAAATTGTTCTCTTATGGCTTACCCTGGTATTTAAACAAATTAATGCACTGTTGGAAGCCTAGAATTGCAAGCATACTGCAGAACCATGTGAAATACCCTTCTTGGAATAGTTTATCTTATTTTTAGTGTTACTAGTAAATCTAATGTGCTTCATCTGAATTGATGTAACTTCTGATTTCTTTAACTCTTATTTCCTCATTCTCCTTATCCCATCCAATTGGCAAACGCTGGGACCTTTGCAGAATTCTTCATTGCGTACTTTTGTATTTGTGAAATTTGAAAAATCAGCTGAAACTTGGAGGGCTAAACTTCTATTTCCCACCTCAGAGCTTTCTCCAATACTTTAAAACCTTTATTAGAAACACTGGCAAGTGCCCTTTTCCACTGGCATAACTTGTACTATATCTTCACTCAAAGTTCTCTATAAGAAAGTCCTTCGAAAGCAGCTAGAAGACATTAACACAACTTATTTGAACTTATGAAACATAAGGGGCAAAAGTATTTCAATAATAGGGATAACACATGAACTGGCATTTACTCAGTGGTCTTGCTGCAGCCATAGGAAAGTAGTTACATTTAAATTTGTATCCCAGAATACTCTTCAGTTCCTCAATTAACCAACATTCTGATTTCTCTACCTTGATGGAAATATTTTGCCCATGAGCTGGAACTGTACTGATTCTGGATTTGTCAGGACAGTCTGATGGAGAAAAGCCCTCAGTTCAACAATTCTGGCATTCCTCCTCTTTTCATTGTTCATATCAACCTCCAGCATCAGCATTTCCTTTCCATTGGAATGAAGGTGAAGGGAGCCATTGACATTATTTTCACCATAACTCTTCAGGGCTGCCTGGGCCTGCACACAGAAAAAAGGAGAGGAGGACATTAAGGACCTCAGATTATATTACACAATACTGAAACTTCAGTTTGAGCAATGAGACTCAGACAACAAGTTGGGACTGGACGAAAGCATAGAGGGGAGTAAAGGGAGAAAGGAGTTTTTAGTTCTCATCTTTGTTTCTCATCATTTAACTAATTTTATTTGGCAATAAATTAAATTAATATTGCCCAAATTGTGTCTGTTTTGTCTGTGTAAGTAATGGGTAAGTGATCTCCCTGTCTTTATCCCAACCCTATCACAACAAAATGTGAACAACATTGAATTTTAAGTACAATTAAAGTAGACTTTAAGAGTTTTCTGAATTTCAACCAAAATACAAGCCAACTATTCCAACCCCATGCAGCTATCTAGCCAGAACAAACCATGAAAAGTTAACTGTTTCCCTAACAATTTACACCTCTCCAGTATAGTAATTGCAAAATAGTAAACTTCAAAATCTTCAAGTTCAAGCAACAAGACTGTAATGACCAGGACTGACCTGTGAAGACGTGTTCTTGTTAATGATGACTTTTACACTCGCACCGCAGTCAAAGTGTTCCAGTTTAGTCTGCCTGGAGAACAGCTCCCCACTTAGGCCCATTGCTTGTGGAAACTCAAGCTATTTGACAAAGTAAAGTATCAGAATAAAAGATTGCATTCCCCCCAGTTGCCTCATGTGATTTAATGTCTGAACTTCTAGCATGAGGTTGGTGATGCATATATGCAAATGTGTGTATCAAATTTTACCAGTTTTATCCCAAGATACTGAAAAATATATTGAAAGCAGTAAAAAAGCATGAAAAAAAAGGTCAACATGTCCCTTACAAAGTATTATTGACACAAATTATTGATACATAACTGAACCTGCTGAGATACCTATAGTTATTTGTCAGAGCCAGGACTTGATTGGATTAGGATGTTTACTGGCATCAAGCAATTATAATTCTAAAGACAACGCAGTAAAACAGTCAGCAAGACATAAAAAATACCAAAAATTAAACTCATCACTACCTGGAATGAGTGTGTCACATCCATGTGTAAAAGATGTCTAAAATCTGCCCCACTGGATTTGTCCTGATACCTCCCTAGAAAACTGAGAACATCTTCCTTATTCACCTTTAAGACAGTCTCAAGCTCATGCTTCACCTGTGTGTTAAGAAAGGGAGTAAGCAAAGTGCACTGAGTATTAACCCTGTGTATAATGAAAGACCAGAGAAGTCATCCCTACACACCACGAAAAATGAAAGAGTTTCTATCTATTATGTTTTGGCACCGAATGAAAAATTAGGAAGAAGAAAAATGAGGAAGAAAATGAGGAAAATAGAAGAAAAGAAAATGAGAAAAAATAAGTACATTTGGTAAGAGGGATGAATAGACACAGCCAGATAAGGGTGGATCCATTCCATCCCAGTACTTGTTTTATTAATAATCCTCATGCATAATGACATTCTAAAAAATATATTAAGTATTCTTATCATAGATTACTACACATATTATTATACAAAATTAAGGAGGTACCAAGGACATAATCACCCTCTGAACATTTTAGTTGCAGCAGCTATGTAGCAAGAAACGAAAGACCTATAGCAAGTGAGGTCTGAAAAGACAATTAAGTGTAAATAAAAAGGGTGATTAATGTCTCCTAACTGAACCTAATGGGAAATTTACTCACATTTTGATGACTTAGAGTTAAAATACACATTTCAACATCTTTGGGAAATGTCCTGTAGTTATAAGGATGAGTTAAGCCAGCACAAATCTAAAAAGAAGTTTGAGGGAAAATGCAACAAACATAAGTAATATGCAGTAAACCACTCATTTGCAGGTTGTTCCGGTATATCAGACTAAAGGGAGTGCTTGGATAACTTACATAGGGGTTTTCAGGTTGGTAACCAAGTATAAGAGTCTGAACAGTTTCCTCCACCCCATTTATCAAAACTTTTGTTTCCATTAAATAGTGCTTTTGCTTTTTGTCAACAGTAAATGTCTCCTGCAGAAGAAAGCTCTGCAGAAAAGGTACTTTAAAAGGATGCCTGGAAAAAAACAAGAAATAAACATAGTGTAAAAGATCTTAATAGACAAATACAACATGAAATCATGCAGAGTTCACCTGAACTCCAAAATTATCAGTTACCACCAGGGTGTCAGGTACAGAAGCAAAACACATGGGATTGGACATTTAAGAAACTATAGAGCATAATGACATCTTCATACAAACTTCACACACTAACCTGAATTTTGATAGAGTTTCCATCCTGAATTTGGTAAATGCCTGGAAGGGCATGGGAGAAGGTGCTGCTCTAAAGTTCTGACACGCATAACCAGCACATACACCTTCTATACCTGCATGGCCAAGACTTCATTTCAAATAGGGAGTGTCCAATAGCTCCTGGCAGTTTTGAAAATCTCACCTATCCACATTTTATGTTTTGTGTAGAAACAGTATCTACATGCCAAGAATCCTGTGCAACAGATGTTCATCACTACACAGCTCCAGGAGTAGTTTACTACTTCAGTGTAATGTTTTATGGACTTTATTAAATATTTCTGCACATTTACTTAGTCAGACCTCTTGGAAGCATGCATGAACCTTTATAAGCAGACACTGGACAGCATTTATACATGTTAGAATATCTGGTACAGCTCTTCATTTACATATTTTTCTACTGAAAAGACACCTTCCAGTGTTTTAGTTATCTCAAAGCTGCACAGTGGCTCCTAAGGCAGCACTCCTGTGCATGCCTGTTGATCCTGCTGTGCCTTCAGAAAGATGAGATTTGCCTAGAAGAGATCCAGATGTCACTAATCTGAACATACATTTTTATTGAGGCCTTCAGGCAGGCTTTAGTAATGGATAATGAAGAGAGAAATTTCAGGGACAGCCAATATGTAGGAGCAGTGTACTCATTCTCACCAGAAAATGGAAATGTATTCCAAAATCTAAACAAGACCATTTGTTACATGTTTTAAGAGGATACCTCTGGCTTTAGAATGGCTGTATAATGCCTAAGGACTAGGAAAAAGCACAGAGGATGGCACAGATAATCAGATCTGGATTTTGGAACTTCTCACCACATACACGTTTGGACACACCATAAATCCTGCTATTTTCAGGAAAGAAGGCTATATGCCTGGCTGACTTGCCAGTAAACATGTCACAGCACACATGGTCTGTTGCCTTTGACAGCTTTGTTCACCATCATTTCAACAAAGAGGCCAAAACCTAATGGATGCAAATAACCAACCCATGAAGCTGCCATACTTGAGCAATTTCAGGGAACCAGATGGGACAAAGAACAGACTTTGTGCATGTGGCACTCTCACTTTGAAAAGCCCAGAACATTTCCTAAGAGCACCAAGACGCACATTAAATTTAGGCCAAAACATTTCTAAAAGATAGAAATAAGAATACTAAACCTGAAATAGAGGGTTGCACGTTTTTGATACAGCATCTTCTCCTTCCTCAGCTCTTTTATTTGACCTTCACAGTGCAGTATAACAGGCAGACTTTTATAATCTCTCCACACAATCTTCACAGAAAAGTTTGTCTTCTTAGGCTGCACTCAGATCATGAGACCAGAACAGGAAAGGACAATTTCATCAGATTTGCTGCATTTATATTCAGGGACCTCAATAAGGAAACCATGTTGTTCAACAGGCTGCAGCAAGGCTGTCACTTCACAGACAAACCATTCCTGCTGCAGTTTAAATCCAGATCTCCATTAATTTCTCAAGAGGATTAAAAGTGCCATCAGTAGAAAACTGACTCCAGCAGAAGACAAATGCTCCTTAATGTATCATTTGAGTGTCATCTACTTGCAACATAAGCAAGCTCTGGTACATAAAAGACCAAACTGGATTTTCAAAGCATGGAAAAAGCATATTCAAAGCTATGTTTAGAAAAACACTTTTTAAGACTTCCTGCAAGGTGTGAATGGACCAAAGTAACTCATCAAAACACCTCTTTAGAGGAGAAACTGCTGATTACCCTTCCTGTGCCACAGACATCAAAGCAAAGCAAAAGTTATCTTAAGACTGGAAGTGATGTAGAGATTAAAATAGCATATAAACCTGGGTTGTCACCATGCTCACTAGCAGGTAAGAGAGTCTGACTCTCCAGGAGAGTATAATCTTCTACACCTCTCATACATCCTCATCAAGCTGTGAGTAACCACATCTCCAGTTCTCTTTCTAGTTATGCTGTCTCTCTTCACCCTCTCCTCCCTGACTGTCTGGGCTCCCTAATAGATGAGAAGTACTCCAAACTATGCCACACAAGTTTATGTTTTCTTTTTGAACCTAGATTTACACTGCAGCCTGTCAAAACAGACAGAAATAGATGCAGTACTGGAAGGGTTTAAGTTTCAACACTAGCAATAACATCTTTCAGAAAGAGAGTTCTGAGTCAAAAAAATGCTTTTGTTTTTCTTTCTCACCGTTGGGAGATTTTGATAGCTGGCTGTGAAGTTAAATTCCTGTTTTGTACTCTTTATCTTAAAGCAGAGAAGTTTGGCTTGTTCGTTATTCTCCAAATGAATCTCATTCTTCACAAGCTGATTCCACAGAGAGATCATCTCACTATAGCTGTGCAGAACATTCCTCCCAAAATGATTAACTGTGGATGCCTGAAAAACAAAGACATTTAGGCTGAGCCAGGACAGACAACATTCCATTGTGCAATAGCACAGCACAGAGGTGACAGAATGATAATTTACAATAACTATTAGAAACGTGTGCCATCTTTTCCATTATCAAAATATTCCAAATCACCATACAGAGTTCAAAGTTTATTTTATCTCCTCCAAAAAAGGGAGAGACAAAAAGCTAAATAGTTGATGAACACTTTCTTCTCATTCAAGAGTATTTCTTACATTCCTCCATGGCTGTGCCTGAAGCAGTAGTGACCTAAGGAAGAAAAGCTGATAAAGGAACATCTTAATCATAAACATAAGTCAAAATGCATAGTGACAGAAGTCTACCACATTGCCTAATGAACAGCAACTATATTAAATCAGTTTTAAAACTCTACTGCATAGCACAGAGCCCTGTCCCCAAAGCCATACACTCTGCAAAGCACCATGACACCAACCTGAAGGTATGTAGTAGCTGGTGTGTAAATGTGAACTTTTCCTTCCTTCTCATTGCCTTGGTCTTTATAGAATAGTTCCAGTACAAGATCTTTAATGGAGAGGGCTTTTCCAGCTGTCAGCTGGGATGTCAGTAAATAAGTAGAATACTGAGGCTGGTGCAGTTTGTGAGCTGTGTACAGATAGAGCCATGGGGTGGCTATATTGAACCCACCTGCAAGGGACATATATTAAAGCTGACAGAAACAGGAGATTTAAAACTACCTAGATTATAAGTCCACATAAAGCTGAAAAGGTCCATGTGTTCCAGAATAAAGCTAAAATGCTAGTATCAATCTTTTCTCTTCCAATTGCTAAAATCTCTGGGTTGTATAAAATGAAATTCATGTCCTTCACTAGTGTAAATGGATATGCTGGAAGAGGCCAGCCAGCCAGGCTGTGATAGGTTGAGATTTCAAAAACTCAGCTAGACAAAGCCATAACAGATGTGATCTACTGCTAGAAATAGATCTGACTGGAGCAGGAATCTGGGCTGGACAACCTCCAGGGTCTTTCTCTTCCAACAAACAACTTTATCATTCTGTTGCACTCACACAGAACTGCTCAGAAAAACCTGGCAGCAGCTTCCAATGCCTGCTTTTCTAATCACAGACTGGAAATGGTTTCTGGTACTTCACCTTCCCACTTCTTCAGGCCATTTCTGGATGCATCCTTCCACTGCAGCCTAGCCACAAATGGTACATGGTCATTATACTGCACCTCAAAGTTGGTGCTGCTCTGCAAATACACCTGAGAGGTGTGCAAGTGCTGCAGCTGGGTTCTATAATTCACCTGTTTTTCCAGGACTTGCATGGTAAACTGGAAAATAAGTGAAGCAAATTTAAATAAAAACAAGATCTCATTTTCAGGGCTGTATAATTTACTCACACACACAGAAGCAGGAAGGTCATGGCTTCTGCCTTTGCACATTTGTCATTCACTCTTAGAGATTCTCATGCATGCTCACCAATTATAGACTGAGGTTTCTTTAATATGCGTTTGTTACAGCTACACGAGATTCAAAAAGAAAAATGCTGTAATATTCTGAGTTGTTATAACCTGTGCCCTCCTTCCACATTGTGTCAGCAAAGCAGCTTTCACAAATTTCTACAATCATTTTATATGAGTTAACAGTGCAAAAACCTCACAGCAAATTACACCTTAACTTCTCCAGTATTTGCAAAATTTATCATCTAGCAAATGTCAGAGATCTCAGTGTCTCTGAGCTAAGACCTCACCTAGACAAAATTATTAGGTCTGAGTACTTGTCTTATATTATTAGTACATACCATATTTACAAAAAAAGGTTGTAATTAAAAAAAAAATATTTTTAGTCTGTGTTAAATATTTTAAGTGAAGGTCTTACTTTTCAACCATCACTATTACCTCCATGAAATAGCTGACTACAGATGAACTGGAACTGTTCTTAAAGACTTGGCTGATCAGCAGTTTCTTCTTGTTGTTTATTTCATCCCAATGTTTCCCATAGTTCACTTCAATCTGGGAGGAAATCCAAGATGCAGTTACTTCATGTTTCAGGTGAACCTAAAGAAGAGGGAATTGCCTTTTTGCTGTGAACTCTTTTCTCATGTTGGGAGCCCTGAGCACAGGTGACACAGGGGTGCCCAGCACACAGGGTGCTTGGCTCAGCACCCACCTGGTGGCTGTAGGTGGGAGCCTGCACACAGTGAAACTCATGGCCCAGCTCCAGTCTGTAGGAGCCCCGTGCACCCGCCTCCACTTGAACTTTCTGCTGTGTACTGCACTCGTGGCAAGGGTTTTTTGCCTCTCCTGCTCAAGTTAAATCATAAAGTTATTTATTCAAGTAAATCAGAATTAATCTTTCAAAATGTTAATAGTATAAATCTGGCACTGGCTTCAAGACTTCTATTTTTCAAAACATCAAAGTGAGATTTGTTTATTTTTACAGCTTGTTGATTTATCCTATAAATCCAAAAGAAAACACAAAGTTCATTACTTAAACAGAATTTTACCTGGTTGAAGTAAAAGAACTACAAACTAATCATGATCAAGCTTTGCAGCTTTCTTGGCTTCACACAATATTTGATGATTTTCCATTACCACCTAGCTCCCAACATCATGACATTGCATGACATTTCAACTTAAAAAAAAAAATCTGGACACTGAGAAGAAAATTAAAATAATGAATTTGAAGTTCCAACTAATAAGTAGGATTACTTTTTAAAATGAAAAATCCAGCACTTCTGCAAGGACATATTTGCTGAATACTTCAGGTGGAATAGCTGTCAAACTGGGTTTAAATTAAAGTGTAACTATGCTCCAAGTATCTAACTGCACAATTACATAGCTATAGCCAGGCATCTTAAGGTAGTGTTTAAGTGTTCAGGTATGTTTTGATTGTTGTTTATAAAATACTGTGATCAACATTACATTTTTAGCAAAATTATGGGGTTGTGCCTGTGTAGGTTTAAGAAATCTTTATTACTCATATTTCTATGTAATCTCTGAAGGTGCAACAGAGTTAGCATAAACAATTCCCCTGTAACATTTATCATGATTAGCTACTGCATGGATTCAATACTTTGTTACAACTGCACTGATGTTCACCTGCTTTGTCCCACAAAATTAACTCAATTCCTATATTGCAACCAAGGGATCAAAGCCAGCTGCTTCCTCGAAACCATCCCTCATATTATTGAGTGCATGCATGCAATCATCTGAAAACACAAATTAATTAGGAGCAATTCTCACTGAAAAAGTGATTTTTAATCTAATGATGGATATGCTTGTGAAAAGCCCATTTAAAAAAATGTTTTTATATGCAGACTCAAAGAGTAAAGTATATCCAACTGAAAAGAGAAACTTGTTCCAAGTTTCAGATCATAGTTTAAAAATTAACTGAAATCTTTCTATTGTGTTCTAAACACAGAGGCAAATCTTGTAGGAAAAATGAGCAATACAGGATATTATTTTCCCTGTTTTTCAGTGTACCTAAGAGTCCATATTTTATCTGCAGACCATGAGACCACAATCCCTCATGCTGCTGGAGAAGAGCGATGGCATGAACTCCAAAAACACCTGGAAGGTGGGTCTCCCCTTCCAACGAGTATTGTCTCAGCTTATCATCAGCCTTTTTCTCCAGAAGTGCTACAGAAAGAAGAGAAATCATTATGCAGTGGTAGAACTTAAAGTTACTTCAGCTAGTTAAAGGAATACTAGAATGGGAAATACCAAAAGGGCATTTGGTCTTTCCACCATTATGAACTCCCCGTATTGTGAACAGATAAAAAGACACAGAGCTGGATGTTCAGTGTCTTTCTCCATCTCCACAGACAACCTGCAGACCACACTTCTGCTTCATGCTTATTGAAATGCATGTAGCCAAAGCTGCTTCTCAAAGGAAATAAATTCAGACAGATCTTTTCATTAAAAAAGCTATGTCCTAACATGTGAACATGTGGCTGTTCACCTCTACGTAAGCTGGTTTATTTCACTGTATTATTTTAATTTTAATGTATTGATGTTATACAAATATTAAAGTTCTGTTTCTGATACTTTCTCTTGTATTTTCCTCTTAGCTTATTTATGAGAAAAAAAGTCTTCAAGATTTTTAGAACAGCAGGTTCTAAGAGACATTCAGCTACAACTATCTGTCTCTGCATTGTTTTATACTAACAAAAGTGAAAAGCAGCTGTTATTTTTTGACATGTTTTTATTAAGTAATTAATCTTGTTTCCTATACCCTTTCCAACACTAATTCAAAACAGACTTCTATTTTTAAATTTCTTTTATTCTGAAATATATATATTTGTATTAATTTATGCAGGACAGTAATTTTTAAAAGTTGTCTTTATGGGCTCAAAGAGAATTTTAGGAATAAGTGTCCAAATCCAGGCAACCCTAACAAATAATAGCTCCAGAACTTGCATTTATATGGCAAATACTTACTGTCCTCTAACCTGAAAGAAATGCAGCATCCTTCAACAAATTATTCAGAGATACTGAAACAGCTATCTTCTTGCCAAGCTGTTTAGTGATGTTTCCTGACAAAATGATAGGACTGCTTTGCTTTATCAGCTTTACCTCCAGCTGGGTCATGTATTTCTGCTCTCCACTCAGCATCTGCAAATCTGCCATTCCCTAGAACAAGCAAACAAATCAAAAAGCAAACCCCAAGCCACTCAACAACATAAGTTAAGCTTTAAGAAAGCAACAGTATAGACTTGGGTTTTTCAGAAATTAGATGAGAGAAGGAAGAAAATATATGTTTTTCTATATTTCTAACAACAAACCTTCCACACCCCACAAAGCCTAAGACTTGCCATTGATAAGTAATGAGGAGGAAGGATGGATTTGTTTTTCCAGTTACACAGAGGTCACAGTGGTGCAAGATGCTACTTCCTTCAGCTTCTGCTGGTTTTAGGACTGAAATCACTATGAATGTTACAATACCAGGCCAGAAATTAATAGGGTGTAACTGAAAATACTGGCAGCTTCACAGAGATTTTGGTTGAAATTTAGCAATGAGTTTATCTCAAAAATATGCAATAAGGAGAACTGGTAATTTCTCTGATGGATTGCTCACAAAACTGTTCTTCAATACATGTATTTTCACTGCCTTTCTTTTCTGTGCTTTTATGGAAGTATTCATCCTAGAAGAAGACCTCATGAAATGCAAACATACCTTAATGTAATACACATCTCGGTCATCCACTATCAGCTCCAGGTGTCCAACTTGAGAATTTTTAGAAAACTCAATCCTCCCTTGGAGAAAAAGAAAATTCTTTACTTTTTCTTTACTGCTCAGTGATGCTTTGTAAGACTGTACTTGAAATTATTGTTGTCCTTGTTATAAACAATAGATATGGAGAGATTAAAAGCATAAATATTACCTCAAAGGAAAAAAAGGATCTGAATTTGCAAAGGCATTTTGCAAAGTGTCTTCAGAATAAACTAGTAATTTTGAAAATATATTTAAGGAGAATAACTGAGAAGAGGCAATGAAGCTGTCTCCAACAAAAACAGCTTAGTTCTGGAATTGATTTATGCTGTTCCTTTAGGCCTGTGCTAAAACTTGTAAGTTGTGTTGTGCTATGGAGACATTTCAGGAGCTCAGAATGCTGTGCACACAAAGTTTTGCACAGTGTTGGTAAAGCTTCCTTGTAATCCATTTGGAAATAACCAGGATCAAAAAAAAAAGTGGAAAATTCTAAATACATCATATGGTAGATTACATCAACACAAAACATCACTTGAACAGCACTCCAAAGGAGCTGAAATATGTTGTCTATATTATTACCACTAATTTATCAGTTTATATTTCCTCAATGTGTTTGTAGATTCTGAATTATATGTTACACTGTGATTAAAATATTATTTTTTATTACCATGTATGACAATATCATAGTCAGAACTTCATTGGTTTAGGAATACATAACTTCATCTCATAACTAACAGAACATAGCAAATTGAAACAGTAAGGAAGATATACATAAAGGGCGTCAGAACAATCCACTATGTTCTTCAGCCTTCAATTCATCAATCTTGATCACAGCTTTTTCTCTAACATGACATTATGACCAGGTACTAAACCTCTGACTGCAAAATATAGTCATAAGCAAGATGCAAACCCCATTGGGAATGGGTGTTACCTAAAGCAGTAAACTGAGCAGTATCACTTAATAATGTAGTTTCAGCATTAGATTAGTGAGTGAAATCTACTGATATTTCTCAGTTAATAGTAATGAAGTTCTCCTAATTGATATAATGAAGTTCTCTTAATTGATATTAGCTGATGATCAGGCTCCTAGTTGAAAAACCTACCATCAATCTCAATTTTTTTCTTAGGTTGTATAAATTGGATTCTGAATTTTTTCTGTGGGATACTAAAACTTAGGTCAACACCAATCTCTCTCTTCAAGTCTGACTTTGGAGTCCCAAGGAAGAAGTGAAAGACAGCTTCACTAGGGATCCATGAATTCTCCTGAAAGAAAGAAAGGATAATCACATTATTCATTGGCACACCATTTACAAAACAATCTCTCACACTGAGACAACAGATTGTTTGTGTGCATTGTTTTGTAGATAAAAAGAGTATGTACCTCCTATCAGCATTTGTAATTTGTGTTCAACATATCTTCCCATATATTGGGAATGGAATGAATAATAACATAGAACTTGGAATCCAGAGGGTTGAATATGCATTACTGAGTTATACCACTCTGTCACCAGAATAGCAAACTGAAATAAAGCCAGAGTCCAGAGGTACCTGAGCTATGTAGTTATAGGCAGCTTCCACCACGTACTGCTGCAGGCCTCTGTCTTGCTTAGTTAATGTCACAGCCACTAGCAAAGGTCCGGTGAGGGGCAAAACCAAACCACTGGCTGGGTCAGGATAGGACATTTCAGAACACAGTTGCCAGCCAATAATCTCAGATACTAGTGGAAGACAACAGTTGAACATTCAATTAAAACAGCAAACAAAGAAAACACAAAAATTACTTCATTGCAGACCTTTTAGAAATAATATGTGAAAAAAGAAACTCTAGTGAATAAAATTATCTGTTATGGATATTTCAGAATGCCTTTCTAAGACAAACATAATAGCTGGACTCACCTTCTTCCCTAGTGCAAGATCTGGTTTCTGTGTTGTCTTGGAAGTCATCTGTATCTTCTGTCTCATCCACCATTCTGAAGTAGAGTTTAGAGCTACAACCAAGAATTTTGAACAAAAACTTAAAAACAATTATGCTAGAGTTACAGAAATATTTAAACAAAATTGTCAGTTATATACAAGAAAATTAACAATTACTGTTTTTGAAGATACCTGTGCTTAATCTTACCTGAAATTAATTAACTCCATAGATTCTTCTGGAGTGTTCAAGAAAACCTTGAGTTCTTTCCCTTTCTTCACCTGGATTCCCCCATCAAGACTAGTAGATGTCCTCATTCCTGTTAACCACTTTAGGCCAGCTTGTCCCAGAGTCCCCACAATTCCCACTTGGACAGAAAGCTGAACAAATGCACTGTTGAAAGATTCATGTACATACCCTTCTGTGAAATACAGTTTCTTTGTAAAGCATTTAATTTAAACCTCTTCAATAAACACCCAGCGTTTGATGCTGTAACACAGTATATTCTATTATTAAAATCATGAACTATTTTGTTTCAGGAAATAATTGAAAAGATTGCATGTACACCAACACACTTTCTAACATGAATTATAGTTTTACTATATCTCCTAAGGAGGGGATTTGAATGCAGCCTTCAGCATGAAGCATTAAGAAAGAGAAAACAATTAGAACTCAGTATCACAGGGCAAGTTTCTGTCTGTACAGCACTTAGTAAAGTTTAGTAACCTATTCAGTATGTACAAAAGCTAAAATAGCCAAGTAAGGAAACACGGGGTTAAATCCTCTATTTGATCCCAAGAAAAACCCACTTGTCACATGGAAAACATTCCAAAAAATCATCGGCATGCAACAATTCAGGAGTTTGATTTAGAGATAGAGAGGAATAGTTAACTTAAACCAGTACCAGAAAAACACAGAAAGAATTCAAAATCAGGCAAGACAGGAAAGGACTGCTGCCCTCACACCATGGCAACCATTCAGCAACAGAAAGATGATGACTGCTTTTGTTCTTCAGGAATCAGTTAATTAATAGGCATTCACACAAAACTTTCATATGAGGAATTGCTACTTTACATCAGGCACACGTGAAAGGGACACATTTGCAGCATTTAATACCTTGGCTTGATATATCCATTTAGAAAGAAATCAGACTGTTGTTTGAAATCAGCATTCCCTTTGATTTTTATGTTGATTGCTGCTGAGGCATTGACTGCCAGTTGAACAGGAAAGCCTGAAATTGCTGGAAACTGCAGTTCTTCAGTTGCCAAGCTCATCCTTTTATTAAACTGGACCTCCTGCCCCTTGTGGTGAACAAAACCCAAACAAAACCCAGAATATTATTTTGCATAATTGAGTTAGCATTCAATAAATTTTCCAGGTATAACTTTTGACTGCATCTGTCTATTGTAAAAGTGTTTTTACATGAGCTGATCTGGGACATAAAGAAGAAAGCAGCCCAAAGCCTGCCTATGACCACGGCATGAGTTAGACACCAGTCCTACTCCACTTAAAAAAATAATTTGTATTTAAGCATGGATGGATTTGAATAAGAGAAGCAAGAAGTAAGCACTATTAGACAGCAGAACAAATCTTTGCCTAATGTACTGAATGCTGTTAAAACCAAATATACACTGGTGTCTTTTAGAATTCAATTTAGAGAAACAACAAGTAATACTTTTTATCTTTAACATATCTATCAGAAGGCAGTTTCTCAAGATAATTACTTGCAAATAGAGAAAAGGTTCCTCTTACCTTCAGAAGTTTAACGGCCAACTCAGCCATATTTAAGGAATAATGTTTCATTTGTTTTCTTAAATCTTCACAATCTAAGAAGCTAAGTTCATTTCCAAAGATTTTCATGCTTAGTTCACATTTCAGTGCCTCCTTTCTTACTGTTCTCTCAGTGAACTGACATAATAAATAAAAATAAATCAAAGGGAATGGTGTTAAAATTTCCTTTCAAACTCACAATAAACAATTCCTCAATGCAGGCTATGCTATTAGTAAAGAAACATTATGTTCCATTTTACAAGTACTTTGGAGACCAATTAAGACCCTAGATTAGTAGGATTAGTAGCTGTTCTTTCCAGCTACACTTCAGCTCCATAGCAAACAAGCCGGCTGCCACTATGAACACTGGTCATGTTCAGTCCTAAGATGACAGCCAAAGGAGAAGTATTACAATACATACCCACAAGCAGATGAAGCTTTGAAAAATACAATCTCAGAACAACATTAGGGATGCCTTGATTACTAAATAAACTGCTAGGAAGTAAAAATTTTACATTTTCTGTCCTTACAATTCTACAATACTACAGCAACACAATATGATCATGAGCTTACTCTCTAAGAAGAAACCCTAAGAAGATGAATCCAAGAAGAGAGATTTCTTAAACAAACTAAATGAATCACAGTCCCTGATTTTTCCAGCTAATGCAGCAACAACTGAAGTAAATTCTCAGAGCTTCCCTGTTGTGTACATAAAACATAGCTCTCTCCAAAAATGAGGAAACTCACAAAAGCACCAATGTAACATCTGACATCAAAATGGGAAGTCAGATTGCAAACAACAGGACTCAGGAACTCAACATCAAGCAGCTGTTTACAGCGCCACAGCAGTCAATCAACAAAAGGACATCAGTATAAAGGGACCAGAGCTCAAAATAATGAGAGGAAACCCAAAACACAGGCAACATAATCCCATGGCTGAGTGTCATTGTTTTGAGACAAAAAAATAATCTGAAAAAACCAGAAAGATCTGGCTCTTTGCTGCTCCGTATTTTCTGCAGCTGTTAAATTCTCTGCAAGTGAGCAAAATGAGTTACATGTGCTTTATGCAAAGGAGTCACAGCAAACCAGAGCACTTCTCCAGTGTGAGATGGGGCCCTGTGTTTGACTGGGAAATGTCATTAATTTTTCTAAGATCTTCAGATTCAGTTACCTTCTTGACTAACTCATTCATCTTGCTGTATTTTCTACCAAGACAATTTTGGTTTGTTTTTCTCAACTTTGGCTTGCCAGACTTGCTCACAAGATGATCAGAGGGGCTATATCGCTTCAAAGTTGGGTTCCTCTGCTTGATTTTCTCTGCTGTTTCCACTGGAGTTTCTGACTTGTGGCTTGCTTTGTCAGTGTTTCCAAAAAAATAGTCACTGAAAGTAGAAGATTTTGGTCCAAAACCCTTCTTTATGAGAGTTTCAGCATTCTCCAATCGTACACCAACCTAGTAAAAAGCATGCAGCAGTGAAAAGCCTAACAGTGACATGTACAGGCCATGGCCATTTCTAAAGCAGAAAATCAAATATTCAACCAGATGTTACCAACACAAAAAAATTTGCCAAGCAAGATCACAGTCTACAAAGTTTAGCATTCTACCTCCTTCAGCATTCAATACTGGATATTTCAGTATTAAATCTTCCCAAAACAATTAGATATGTAAAGTCCAAAATAAAAAATCCTTTTTCCTTCATGTACTGAGATCCATTTACACCATAAAGAGCCAAAAGGGGATACTGCTATTTTGGCATGTTAAAAACAGTATCTTGGCTGGAAAACACTAACACATCCTTTTCATGCTCTGAAGTAAGATTCTGTTTGGAAGTTTGCTTAAAACAGAATTACTAACACGCATAAATCCAGAGTATGCAGCACTGAAAAACAATTCTGTTCCCTTGCAAGCTTAAACTTGAGATCTGAAGGCTACGTTAAATACTTTCTTTCTTTCATATGCATATTGTTACCTGGTGCAGCAGGTAAAGATGATGCGGTCACAGGCAGGTCATTGAAATGTCTCAAGCACTGGAGGGTCAATGGCACTAGAATTGTGACTTCAGCTAAGTACAAATGAGTCTAGCTCTGTATTAACGGAATGGTGTACCCAAGTCAATCCATTTTCCACCATCCATCAAGAAAAGGAATCTTACTATCCTAAACAGGAGCTAGAGCAGTGTCTCAGGAAGCACTGACTTTAATGTTTCCTTTGAATCAACAAGAGCTAAGTATAAGTCATTTTCCTAGTGCATGGCACTAGCAGAGTGACAGTGCTTTTATTTCGACTAAGCCCATTACACAAAGGACTAAGGACTCACCAGTCTGAGGCAACTGTGCTATAGCAGTGAAAAGCACATTTTGCTAAAGGAACTGCAACTGGAAACCAGAAAATGCTTTGTACTTCAATATACCAAGTGTCACTTGAGGAGGGGGATAAAAAACCCCCACAAATAAAAAATCCATAAACTTGCCTCCAGGAGATTTATAGCCTGTCCCATGAAGTGAACAGTCACATTTGTCATGACTGATCGTGGCAAAAAAGATGTAGGAGAAAAGACCACTGATGCTTCCATATTTGCACCTGCACCAGCTGCAATGGAAAGCAGATGTCTGTAAGCTGGAGATCAGCTGTTCTCATATATTTTGCAAAATTCATAATTCTTTGGAAAACTGCTACTCCACTCAATAAAAAGATGGTGAATGAAATGTTGTCAACAGGTGAAACTATTTAACTTTTTAATACAGCAAAGACATTACTGTTAGTAACCTCCATTTACTGGAATTCCATATTTACTGGATATTACTGGGTATTATCTCACTAACATCAAAAGGATAGAATTTATAATACATAAGATACATAAATGCACTGGAGGAAATGGACAGAAACTCAAAATGTAACTGAAAAACATCATCTAGCATTTTCACTGAAAACAAATGAACAGATATTAGAACAGGAAGGAACTAGTTTGACTCTTTTCTTACACTAAGGACAGCACATGGATCAGAACAAGAAAAAACATCCCAGTCCCCCATTGCTGCAAAGGAGGTTAACTAAGGAAGGAATTAAAAGTTGATGCTCACAAAAATAATCTTAAGTGTTCATTGGTTCTTAGTCTCCTCTCTCACAAGAGGCAAAGATGTATGGTTATCTGGTTTGGTGGAAATATATTTCATATATACTCCAATTAAGGTCAAAGCAGAATCAAGCTTACATTTGCATATTTGGATAGTATTAAATCATAAAAATCAAAGTTTTCTGGAGCAATATGTAAAGGCTCAGAAAAGCCACACGAGATGTTAATAATCAATATGCTACAAAGTATTAATTTCTAAAACTCCTTTCACTCCACATACCTGAGTGAAACGTGACATCAGAGTATGAGGAGTATTTCCATGTCTCCCAGTCAAAATCTTTGCTAAGGATTTCATCAGGAATAGAATCTCGAAGGTGCTCCTTCAATGGGTCATCTGTCTCCAAGAGCTGAGAGAGATGACTCCAAACAAAGGAGCCCACTAAAATTCAACAAAGGAAAGCATGTGAAAATCAGAGAAAAATTACAAGAGTCCTACAAACAGAGACAGGAAATATTTTTATTTTTTATACCACCATTAATTCTAAGCTATTCCCTGACCAAAACAGAATCCATTCATTTTCAGCATGATTAAAATCAGTCTGATGCACCTAGTGCAACAGCACTGTAAATAAAAAAAGGCACATACAATTAAATCTGATTCAGAATTAGTATTCCTGCATGATACTGTGGAGTCCCAGTTTGACCACATATGTGATGTGTTGTGGAGGAAAAATATTTCCCATATGCTCTGAAGTCTGGTTCCTAAATAGAAGTATTTTGTCTCTTGAAGATAAAAGATATTAGGCTCCAGTGTTAATTCAACGCACAGACACTGAATACTGATGTAACTGCATTTTTCACAACACGACTTTTTTTCAAATTTTGTTTTCTGAATGCAGAACCAAAAACTAACAAATGCCCTATGTCTTCAAAAGCACATGCTATTCAAAAGTTAAATATAAATTATTTAGCTGTCATATCAACAAAAGACAAAGGAAAGAAATGAAGAATATGAATGCGTACTGAATTAAATAGTTTAAAACATACAACATTTTGGATGGACTTGTAGAACTCCTTCATAAATCAAACAAACTAAATTTTCTGCATGGAGTCACCAGGAGGAGTCACTGATGGTACACCCTGACAGGGTTTTGGAGGTGGATGCAATTTCTTTCTGTCGGAGTTCTGAACAGAGAGGAATGAGTGCCCTCCAAGCCACAAGCCACATCAGCAGGTGAGCACAATGCTGAGCCTAATATCACAATCACTGTAGGATACACTGGTCTGGACATAACATCCTGGGAAATGGATACCAGCTCCAAGGCAGAGCTTGCCAGGATCTCAACACAGTGCAGACAGAGCCAGCTTTCATCTGCCTGCAAACAATCTTACAGATACCCTTCTCATGTTTGCTTCTTCTTCACAGATGTAAATGCAAGGGATTAGTCTAGAGGTATCCTTCACTGAGCATAGTGAAACCATTTGATAGTAGCTTAACATTTTTTTCTGCCACTTGCTTCTTTCTCAACAAAATGCTATTTGCAGTCATCCAATTGTATTTCTAATGCACTGAGCATCAAAGCTTTTCCATAAGTCCTTCTCAGGAGCCTTCAGTGAATGAAATGCTGCAAGTAGAAAGAACTAATTCTATGAAAAGTCAATCGTTGCTATTGCTAAACTAATGGTATCACAATTTCAATATAAAATGTTACAATCATACAATCTACAAAGCATTGAGATTAAATAAAAATTTACATAGATTGGTACGATTACACCTGCAAAGTAAATGTCACTTTGAAGTATCAATTAGGAACATGTAAGACTTCAGTAGATGCTTGGCTGACCTTGACTGGAGGTTTCTTTCAGCAAAGTTTTTTGTACTTGTTTAAATAACTCTTCATTTGGACATTTCATTGCTATATAATAAGCAGCAATTCTTATTTCCACATCTTCACTGGTTGCTTGATACAGCTGAACTAATATAGCATTCTAAGAGAAAAACACAAAAAAAAAGACAATTACAACCCACTCCCCTGGAATAAGTCATTCACTTTCAGGTCCTGGTGGGTTTTTGTTCTCAAAGAGATATTGCTACACTTGTAGCTGTTACCTTATACCTGACAAAGTCACTTTGTGTAACACGGATACAAACATATGTACATATTGTCTATACTATTTTATCCACAAATTTCCTGAACAAACTGTCATTATGACCTTGAATTCTATACAGACAAATCTATACCAGACTCTGCAACACAGAGCCTCCCCTGCCAGCATAACTGTTAAGAATGGTTTTATTCCACCACATGGGAGACCTGTCTGTTGTATCTCTCATGTGCTAGAGCCAATACAGAGATAACAATGGCCATGACTTTGTTCACAGGCTATTAAGACCATTACTTTTGGTCAAAATCAAAGAGCAGGCCAGCAACAAATTTATGCTGCTCAATATTTCCCCAACCAAGACAAACTTTATTTGTGAACTAAGGAACTAAGAAACCAGTGACTGATACTACTAACATTTTTATTACCTTTTAACAGCCCCAGTCCACCTAGTTCAGCAGTTCATTTGCTAGACAATGATGATGGTATACATGACAACATACAGACTTGATATGTTGAACACATCTACCAAGCTTCATAGCTGCAGAACAAGTGAATCACACTAATCCATGCTGAAATTAAATTTTAAAAAGCCATAAAGAGGTGCTTCTCCAAGTGCAAGTCCATGTGGAGCTTCTTGCTCTTCTGGAGCAGGACTGTCAGATTTGCCCAGACCAGCACTCCTGGCTTTGCCATTCTAAGTATCAAGGTATTAGAGATAAACAAGTCTTGGACTTTCTTCCATTAAACACTTAACAGAATGTTCTAACTATGTTAGACTATTGCAAATCACAACAAGCTTCTCACATTAGTACTTTATGTTTCAGAGAATGAAACAGTGAAACAGACTATGGGAAAAACCAAGTCCTGTAGGTTCTCAGCAATAACTCTTGCAGACAGAAGGCACCCAAATGAAGTGTCTAATTAAGAAGTCACAAACACTGGATGTGTTACCTCAAGTGCAGCAAAGCTCATTATACGTTTGCTCATCTAGGTGGTTCTACCATCTTCTCCAACAGCAGAGGGGCTCTGCTGGAACATGTCTACACTTGTTTCTTATCCATTGGTGTGTTTTGTAATTATTCCAACAAGTCCTAAATCTGTGGCAGTGCCAGGAAGCTATCAGTCACCTGACAGTAACTCACTCACCCCAGCAGAGCAGGGAATGCGCCGGAAGGCCTGGACAGCAGCGAGGCGGATCTCCACGGGATGGCTCTTCAGGGCAGCGCATGAGCTCAAAGCAGGAGCCAGCGAAGCTGCCGCCAGTCCTGCATTTCCAATGGCTTTCAACACCAGCTGCATCTGTAAATGCAATGCAAGGTAGAACAGAAAGCTCTACATTTAATTGCATGGCACTAGCATTTTCTGTGCAAAAATCTGTTTAAAATTATTTACTGGTGATTTGGGGAGTTTACTGCAGCCCCTGTTGTACCACCTATACCCTGGGTTTACTGGGATGACAAGACAAATATGGACCACAGTTCTATTCTAATGCCATGTGGCACTTGTAAGTAGAACCTGCCTTAGACCTGGGGGAATACAAAAACATTTTTTTAAAAAGCCAACATTGCAACAGAAAAGCAAAAGTCACAAATTTTATGTACTGGAAAGGTTTTTCAAGTACTTTGATATTTTGTCCCTTTTGATCACAGATATTTTGACACACTAACTAAATTAAAATAATAATTTGTCAATAGATATGTGTTCCTCATATTGCTCAATGGTACGAAGTTTGTTTCATCAGGAAATCTAAGGCTTTTTTTTATTTCCACACACAAGAACACCCATACTGATAGGTTCCACTTGTCAGATTACACAATTTTGTCAGTTCATTCTAGCAAGAAATATTCATTTACTAAGCTTGCATTCATAGCTGTCTGGAAATCTAATGAATACCATTTTCATCAAACAAGTTCTAGATCATAAAGTGAAGAGAAAAGTAATGCCCTATATCATGTGCCTCTGTAAAACCAATACCTTGCTGAGATGTTCTGAATCTTGCACGGTACAGTTTCCTCCCAAAAATTTCCCAAGTGTACTCATCACACCCTGCACAGCAGGTACAACACCACAGGAGCTGTGAGCTGAACAAAACCTATGTACGAGAGCAGTTACTCCCAAGAAGCAGCTCTGGCTTGCTTTAGGTGACTTCAGCAAAGGCTGTAAACAACCACAAAAAGAATGAGCTGTTTCAGAAAAGTCATGAGAATGACTATTGTGACATACAGCAGATTATATATAAATTTACATACTCAAATTCAACCTCAATAAAATTACTTGGACAGAGCTTTGTATAAATCTGTGAAAAAGACTGTTACTGTAAAACACAAAAATTATGAGCCACTAAGATTCATTACAAATTAAAAAAGAAAAAACAACATCCACTCACAGCAAGAGATTCAATCATGCCTGAGGTGGGATTAGGAATGAATGTTAATGACCAGAAGAAATATTCTACTTTGTCTTCCTCAACTTCTCCAGAAGTTATGAGGTCTTTCATTAAGACAACACATGCCTCTGTGGCACAAGATGGGAGAGCATCTATTAATGGTTGCCTGTAACACAAGAAAAAAGTACAGGAAACCTAAAATGACCAGAATACTTCAGAATCACATAACAAGTACATTGAGGCTAGGCCTCTTTTGAAGTGAATAAACGTCCAGTGGCTTAGCAAATTCCAGATTCCACAGAAATCAGTATTATCTTCCGGTACAGTGGCCTTATAGAAATATGTCTCAGACAGGATCTGATGGAAGTGCACCAGTGTTTCAAGAACAGTACCTAATCAGATTTTCAAGAAAATATTCAGCTGCTTTCTCTGAGAATTGAGCTACATCATATCCCAGGTTTGACTTCTAAAGACTGAGGTACCTTAAAGCACTGACTTTTTATTAAGGTAGTTTCATTTCACCTTTCATTTCACCTGTAACACCAGTAACAAATTAAAATACTAAAACTGAATTGACTAGCTTTTTCTTCCTGAGCTTTTTTAGACCTTACTTAAGGGGAAAGCTTACACCAGCATGACAGACAATATGCATTTCAGCTCTTAAGAGTCCTTTTGTAAATATTCTGTACCTGCCTCCTATACTGATGGAAGGCCAGTTTTGCATTAACTAGAAAGGAATTAAACTAGATGGGGTAAAAGCATCAGAGAGTAGTCTGCATGGGATTCTCTTCCACTCTTAAATGTAATAACCGTGGCCTGAGTAAAATTAGTCTAAAAGGTAATATAAAAGAGGCAGAGTAGCTTAATTACTGTCTAATACTGAAGAATATTAGCATGACTATTTGTCAAAGGATGAGAATAAACCTAACCCAAAACAAAATTTGTCCCTTTTAAATCAAGTAAAGATATTGTTGCAAACATAAACCTTGGTATTTGATTAATTTTAAACAGGATGATGACATTTTGTACTGAAACCAAGTAAAATAATCGTTTCATTATTTTCAATTTTATAAAGGGAGAAAATTTTACTGTTTCTAATAATACTGAATTATTATTTCTGATAGTCTCAAACGATTGGATAGAACTATTCCTGACTGCAGAGGAGTAGGGTCTTGATCTTCAAAGCCACTGTTCTACAATTGACATAAACCTTCCTAAGATCGAGCTGCTACTGAAAGATGCAGTTCCACCACATCCATAATTCCAGCCTAACATCTCTCTCCTCTGCCCCACGACTGCTAAAGGCATTGAAGGTACAGATCCAGGTAAGCTTTTACATAACAAATGGCAACATAAGCTTAAAAGCAGCAGAACTGATTTTCATCCAAGCCATGACTCAGGTTTGCCATTCACATTGCTTCAGAAACAGGAAATCTGGCTGTGGGAATAGGTACGTGTATTTTGTACATAACATTCATTCAAGTGAGGAGAGAATGTCATCCCATTACAGAAACAAGATCTGTAATTATTCCTTTAAAATTATTCCTTTAAAATGCTTCAAATTTAAATCCAACATTTGGCCACAGATTTAAAACATTTAAATATTTGCAAAACATTTCTTTTCTGTATATTTTTGAATGTAATAACTAAAGGAGACTTACCAATTGTCTCTGCACTTAAATGATGATCTTTGCCATAGAGCTCTTAAGGCCTCAAGAGAAAGGTGTCGAAGCTCAAACACAAGAGTCATGAAAAGGTCTGCAGTCTGTAAGTGCACAACCACAACTGTGATATTCCTGCTGTGCAGAAACCAGCTTCAGAGAACTGAGCACAAGAGGTTATGCTGGCATTGCCATTGATTTACAGTGTAACCTGAGACTGAAATCTCCTTTCTTCCCTGTGTCCTTACATTCCTTCCTCATTTGTTTTTCTCCCTAGACTGCAAACAAATGGAGAAGGGCTTTTCCTTTGGATGTCAGTCAGTCCCTCAGACAACAGCTCTCAGTGACCACCACACACACCACTGGCATACAAATGAATAATAAACCAAAAGGCAACAGTATGGTTACAATCTAGAAGAGAAAGTCATAATCTTCTTTGAGTTTGTATGGCAAGATCCTTATTTATGACCAGAACAGCTGTCATAGCTTTGACACAAATGAAACAATGGTCAAGTTAACTGTATATTAATCTTAGGTTTATGTGAAAGATCATTTAACTGAGGTTTGGGCAACACTTAGAAGTTTCACTTGAGAACCCTTGGGCTGTGAGAAATTATTCCATTTTACTGGGGAAAAGCCCAGACAGAACTGCCCTTACTTCTGCAGGCAGCACAGGACTAGCTGGAAACATAGAGGCAGAAGAGCTGTTCTCTCTCACTAAGAGGAAGTGCTTCATCATACAGCAGCTATTTTACCTGGCATTTTAAATGCTAAATAGTGTGTGGATGTAGTCCTCTGAGACCTGATCCAAAGTTCAAGAAAGAAGATAGATCTCATTACTTGAAAAATTAGCAGAATGTTCGATACAGTATCCTGTATGTTCCTGTTAACTGAACCTTATAATGTGTAAGTTTTAAACACAATCCATGTCAGATTCATTTTGATGCTTTATTCACCTCAGATGTGAAAGGTTTAGACATAGGACTAAATTTATGGTTCCAAATAAAGCATTTTTCTTTACACAAAAATCATACAAACAAAGTCTAATTTCACTAAGTCACATTTCCAAAGGTTTGGGGACAGACCTAATTTGACCTTCTGATCTTCCTTCCAGGAGCTACTCCCAAAAACAATGAAAAATGGAATAATCCAGTGCCAGCATTCAATTTTCATTTAAGACTGCCAAGCCATTTTCAGTAACAAGAAGCTGTCTTTCAGTAAGAAGTCTGAGTAACTTCTTACTGTTTTGTTTGATAGTCTGAGGGAGTAATTTGTCAGATCCAAGATATAGTTTTTTTATTCTTTTGGTATTTATATTATTCTTAGAAATAATATATAATTTCTAATCCAATTAAAACCTGTTCTCATATGTGAGGCCCCACCTATGTATTAATTCTGTTAACATTTATAATTCCATACTGAAAATTCATATAGATCCACATTCACCAGAGCTACTGACCAGGTACCAAAACCCAGCCAGTCACTGGAAATGCAGCCCTAGCAGAAGTGGTGTGACAGGCTTCTCTCCAGCCTCTCTCAAGAGAGGGTCCCTTCTCCCCATCCCTTTTTCCATTCTTTGTCAGCAGGCAGCTTGTTCACTTAATGGTCCATTAGCTAATCTACATCCACATTGAAATTCAATCTTGTCTCATAATAGCATTAAAAAATTAAACAACTTTGCTTCCTTGGAAATGACACCATCTCCACCTCCATTTTCTCATCCCTTCACTGTTTTCCCTAGAGTTGGAGATTTTCCCTTGCATTTATCCTTGGTTTTGTGTCCTGAAAGAAATGCATAATCACACCTCATTCAGAGTCAAACAATAAAGGGACAAACAAGCTCTACATGCATAACAGTGCAGCTGTCTCCCAAGCAACACTGTGGGCATTCCCATAACTTCTTTCTTGGCCCAAAGGACATTTCATTGGTTGAAATGAGGGATGATAAAGATTCTCTTTGAAATGTCTGGTCACACAGAAAGAACACCCTGAAACAGTGAAAATGGTTGACAACCAATCAAACCCTGTGCTGGGACAGGCACATGATGAATAATTCACCTCCCTTTTAGGCAGTGGCACAGACAGCAGCTACTTGTGCTAATCTCAGTGATCTAAAAACCAAATTTCCCACACATGAAGCCAGTAGGCCTCTCTGAAGGCAGAAGTGACATCCCACTGTTACTGGGAAAATTATCTAGCATTCTTTCAAAGACACTGAATTAAAAGTGCTCCATAGAAGGTAGGATTTAGACAAAGTTTCTCAGGTCTGCTGCCATAATTTCTTTCTTCAACATTTTCCAGGCAGTATGTGACTCTCTAGTCTGTGCCTAAATGCCATTTCATACTGCTGTACACTGACAATCACATGGAATTAAGCATTATCCTTCTCCAAGAGGCTGCTTTTATTCTATATTAGCACCAGCCATTATTATACATCTCTCTTAGCCCTCCACAGCCCCAATCTTCATAGCATGCAGCTAAAAGAAATGGCAGACCTGCTTGTAACTCAGACACAGAAGCCCATTCCAAATATTACAGCATCCACAAAGGCCACCTGCTGCTTTCTCTTCAGCCCCATGCTGCTTTTGTCAGGCTTTGGTACCATGATCACCATTTAACAGACTGGGAGTAAGGTCCTGGGCTGGAATTTATCACAGCTGATTGAGGGTGCTGGCTTCAGCAGCTGTGACTTATCCAGCTCCACCCTGTGCCTTGCCCTGAAGTCTCACACACAAAACATGAACACCTACCTGTGCTCATGAATCACAGGTGTCACTAAGAGAAAGGTGAACACACCCAGGATATCACTGCAGAGCTGCAATCCAGCACTGCACTTTTCTCCAGTCCCTCTCCTCCATCCCTCAGTATCTGTGTCCAGCCCAGGGGAAAGACAGGAAGAGCTTCTGTTCTTTGACATGGGACTTAATATAAACAAAGGAAGGTGAGTGCCTTCCATGCTGAGACTGAAGATTTCTGTTAACATCACTTGCACCTATGTGCATTTACAGGAGAGATCTCAGCCTCTCTGCACAGGAAATAACCTTGCTCCAAAGTACGAACAATCTGACAAGACCCTCAGAGGACAGGGAATGTATCAGCAAGGAGCTGACTAAACTCATCAGTGGCAAATTCATGGAGGCACCAATGCCCTGTTTAGTGTCTTTCCCATTAGATCATACTTGTTTTCTAGTAATATCCTGACCAAAAATTACTTAAAGAGAGTGTTTTCTTCTGTTTCAACATTTACATTTTTTTTCCTTTATTTTTCCCTGTAGGAACTTCACTACAAGAAATAGTAAAGGATATTGGGAAGGATATTTGAAGGATAATGGGTGTCCTCTATTTGCCCACAGTTTATCTCAGGTGAACAGTGATTAAACACCATCTTCTGTTGATCCTTTTGTATTGCACATAACAGGTGTTCTTTATAACCTAACAGGTGTTCTTGATAACCTCTGAATTTCAGAGATAGGGATCTTAATTCCAAACACAGAGACAATTACTGACTGATTCAGCTGCTGCCAGTATCAATAAAAAATACAAGACCCAAGTGAGGTAAGGAGACAGGCAGACACTCATCTAGAATGATGGTCATAATGAAAAATATTTAAGCCAATGCCTGTTTCACATGACCAGAAGATTCCACCCTATCTTAGCAGCATTCGCCATTGAAAATGGTCTAGGGGACAGAGATTGGACCCTCTGGACCCAAGCAGCATCCCGAGAAAACACGATGGTTATTAGAGTTCATAAGAAGCAGAAGAAACCTACCAGCAAAGACCTTCATGTGCAAACTGTTTTGAGGGGATGAGGCAATATAAGGATGGCAGAACTCCAATAAACATGAAGACAACAGTACCAGGGGCAGTATTACACACTAAAGCTGTAAAATATATGTTTTACAATAAAGTATCAAAACTGCCGGTGACAACCCAAACCAGATACTTTATATGCTTTTGGTTTTTTCACAGCAAAACAAAAATTTGGGACATTTTCTTTCAGATTAATTTAGAATATAGTTCAAAATTGCTTTTGCTGAGTATTCAGGGGGCTACAGGATGTTTTAACTCCTCAGTGTGATTTACTGCTTATGTAAGAAAATGACACTTCAAAGCATTTTCTCTTTTCTAATTCCACATTTTAAAATGTTCAAAACAATGGAAGGCTTCAGTATTTCAAAATTTCTGCTCTCCTGGTCACCTTTTATCTGTGCAGAAGAATTCTCAGCCCATGAAGAGCCTCCCAAGGAAGCAAAGGCTGTAGAGCTTACCTCATAACTTGCACTGTGTGCTAAACAAAGCTTCCACACCAGTTCAGTCACTTCTGCTCCAGTGACCTCCCTCTTAGTTACTTCCCTTTCATAGAGAATGTTGGTCACATACAGATTGTCAGAGTCCCCTGGAATAAGGAACACAAAAGAAAAATCACATCTCTGGTGATTGCTGGCATTTTTCTATCATTAACCCTATATGGAAGGGGAAAGTTTCTCTCAGAGCCTTTATTTCTCCCTGTATGAATATTAATATGTGTGCAGTCAGCTTGAATTTAAGAACAAGTGTGACCCAAAATAAAGAATCAGAGAAACAAGACAAATACACACATGAAAAAAAAGCCCTGTTTTTCATCCATCCATCTCTTAGTATGGCCCTGCTACTTTACATTCATCACCTTTTCCAATGTCATCTAAACACTACTCCCACACTTCAACCACTGAAAAAGTGAAAAGGAGATCTAGGTGCAAATTAAAATAAATGGCTTGGCTCTAAAGCTCTTCCTGAGGAACAATCCTATCTTATGTTGGTATAATTACAAACAAAATGCCCTGGAAATTTGGGGATTCCTTTAAAAAAATAACTGAACAACTATTTAGAAATAGACAAAAAACACGTTCCTCAACATTTAGAGTTCAACTTTGAAATCATTCCTCAGGCAAGCCACCTGTTGACTTCAGTAAACTCATCTTCCTAAGAAGAAACATAGAGAGAAAAGAAGGTGCAAAAATTAAAACAGTTCTTAGACATGGCATGTCCTTAGTTCCATTAGGACTTGCAATTATTTAGGCTCCATTTATATAAAAACTAGGAATTGTCCACAGATCTGGGAAGGCTGATGCTGGACATGCAAGGGCATGAAGTATGTAAAGCAGATAAAGGGAAGGTAGCCATTACAGACTGTCATTTTTGGAAACCTACCCAGTTTTGGAGATCCAGAGTTTTGTTATGGCAGGCCCAAGCCCCCAAAGAAGGGACAGCTCAGCCCAGCCTATAAAAACACAGACTTTAAAGCAGTTTAATACATTAAAGGTGAAAATCATGGGTGCAAAGAGTTCTCACAGGCAAGACAAAATCACAATATTTTTCTAGGAAATAAATTTACTTTACTTTAGCAGAAGCATAGTTACATTTATTGTAGAGTGTCTCTGTTTCCACTTGCAAGAGTTTGAGTGCAGACCGTGTCTGTGTCTCGGCCCCGCTGCCCTGCTGAGGGAACAGCGTCATGCGGTCGGACTCGGTACATTTGGCCTCCTCCAGGACCCCATCCCTAATGGTCTGGACACATTCCAGCTGGGAGGACAGAACCTGCTGTTCAGACTGAGAAAAACAGGTACTTCAGGAAGATTCTTGATGACCTGTGTCAGCTTACCCAGTACTTCCTCTCCCAACTTCACAGAGGATTCCAGTTTTGGGATAGTGGGAAGTCTCTTGTCTACCCCTCTGACAGTGCCCAGCCTGTGGAGGTTAATGCACTCCTTATTGTAGCCTACTTTTTCATCACTGAAAAACAACTGCTATTAACTGTCAGCATCAAATGGTGTCAATTCATTTCAGTTCACAAAGCCTCAAAGTTAATCAGATATTTTTGGTCAGCAAAAATATTGACTGTATTTTCTGTCAAGAGTGGAAAGCTGCAAGTCTGGCATTTAGAAAAGTTTCTAGCTTTCCAAACTTTTATACAAATAATAACTTTCTTTTTTTAATGCATTTTTTCTTACTCACATCTCTCAATTCCTCCCTTCCACAGCTTATTTTTTATTTTCAGTTTACCTCTGTAACATATTTTAAAGAGAGTTTAATCCAGGTGCCTAACAACCCCTTGCATTTATTCTGTAACATTCATCAACCACAATGCAAATTTGCATTAAAACAAATTCTGTGAATAACAGACATTGCAGGGAGAATAATATTCACCATTTCTTTGCTAAGAACTCAAGTTAGGGCAGACACTCTCTTCAAATAAGCTCAAAAAGCAAGAGTCAGAGTAATTCCCCAAAACTTACCGACACATGGGGAAGAACGACAAATTGCAGAGAAGTCAAACCAGAAGAGCGATGGGAGCAGAGGTTCAGGTCCCTTGTCTTTACAAGAATGGGACCCTTTCGCTGATACCTGGTTGGGCATATTCCCAGGACATCCACCTAGTAACAAGCATACTCTGTTGAGTCACACATACACACATAAAATACAAGGAGATAGTGTAGGTTATTGCAATTTGTTTTAATATTTACTTTTTTTGTAATAACAACAGATCTAAATTCTCCCTTAAAGAAGACCAGTTTTGCCACAAAAGCTATGAAAAGGAAAATAATTTTAAAGACCTTGGCCAAGTTTATAGTAGCCAGGCTCTGTTGGTCTGTTTAATTTCACTGTGTTAATCTGAATCAGATCATTACAGACATATGCTTTTCCATTTAAAATTTTGTGGGCATGCAGGGAAGCATTAATTCAGAAGAGCATTAATAGGCAGAATAACTAAGCCCTACTGCAGAACCTCTCTTTAAGCACTGACACACAGGAGTAGGCTGAGATAATTTTAGAACATTCACTACAAGAAGAAATCAAATGACTGCCACAGTCTGCTGAACCAAGTGGCAAAACCCTTTCTTTATTTACAAGCGGAGTAGACTTAACACGTACAAGAGCTAAGAGTCACCTCAGAGCATGACTGACAGTCTCACCTCCTCAACAACAGCACCAGCAGAGAATTCTGGCACTGTCTGCAGCACACTGAGAATGCCTCGCTTGATGTTCAGTGCCCAGGTCTGTTCACTCCTCACAGGACAGAGCTTCAGAACTTTCCCATCATGGAAAGAAAAATGAAGAGGATGCTGTTCTAGTATTTCCCTGCAACAAAAGAGTTTATAATTTCCTGCTTCAAAGAGTGCAGGTGAATTTATGACATTAGATTCAGATTTTCCCCAACAGAACTGTTCTTCCACAATAGATCTGTGTCACTCTGTATCTCTATTCTTTATAGCAAGCCTCTATTCTTCATAAATTCAGCCTAACCCAATGAGTCCTTAAAAAACCCTGTAAAACCCTAAAAAAACAAATCTTCTCAAGATAATCACAGCATCCTCAACGTAACTGTAATACTTAATAAAAGCAGCCCTGGCAAATTTTTTACATGTAAATGTACTTAATGGCAGTGATTCTTGTTTAATTAGGAGAGAAATTCTGTTATAGAATTCAGAGTGCCTTTAGCTTTGGTAGGCATGTCTGAATTGCAAAGTAACTGCACCATGTCTCTTCAGCTGTGATGAACACAAGAACAATTGCTTCCCAATTAACCTATATCTTCCTGCTCTGCTAGGTGTGAATACTCAGGCTCTATCCCAAACTTATTCCCCAATTTCTGCTGTTAGTACACTTCCTAATGTCTTTTGTTATCCCATATTGAGAGTACAGTGTTTTCTGCCTTTCCAAGGGATCACTTTTTAACATTTATTTTCACTCCTAATGTAACATACTTTAATCATATTTTTTCCCTCTAAATGGGGAAAAACCAACCATCTAAAGGAAGAATTTTATTGTAGGCCAATGGTCAGCTCCCATACAGGGAGCTATAGCTGTATGGGAGCTATTAACTGGGGCACTAACTATTCATCTAGTCAATCAGTCACAAAGTAAGAGATAAAACTTTAATACACCAACATCTGGATAAAGTCCTTCCAGAAGAGACTGGGCATATAAGATAAGGCTTTCTGAAGTCCTAGGTAACTGAGCCTGTTTTTGCTACTATCTGTGGAAATTACATGCATGTTCAAAGAACAAGCTAGACTACTGTATATTCACAATAGGCTGAGGCAAATGCTAATAAGGCTCACTTGTCTGAATAATTATTTTGAATAGCCAAGCTTCACTGAATGCTTTCTATGCTACCTCTCTTTTTAGGCTTCTCTGCAAAGAACAATACACAACGGCTCTTACTGCTATGAAAATCTTGAAAATAACTTCACAGAAGATGTGCCTGTACACTCATTTGAACTCTGATACCACTGCCCATAGAGACAACACAAAGTTCTTCCTGATGAATATAAAAAGCAATGCATTTACCCCAAGCTTGCTCTTTTTGACCCTTTGAATTGAGTCAATTACCTCAGTTCTCAGTGTTGTTTAAAGGCTGAGAATCCAAGTGGTGGGACAAAGAGGAAGCTTAATCAGACAACAGAACTGCTTTTTTTTTTGATGACACAAGAGGCATCAGCTCTCTGGGAAAATGCCTAACTTCCACAGTTTGAGGAGATCTTTTTGTGTAGCCATCTACACTGGAAACTATACCTTGGCAAGTCAATGAGAAACACACTGACATATGTTATGAATGAGCTACTAAACCCAGAAACAGAAAAGAAAGAAAATATCATTGGACAAATAAATTATAAATACCCTGGAAGAAAAAAACACAACATTTTGCCTTATGAGAATCTTCTAAACCAAGAACTTCTGAAATGTACTGCAACACTCTAGAGTCTCTAGACGTAACATCTGCAGCTCTGACAGCTGTGATCCACACATGCTGCTAGAGGTCTGGTGATCTGTACTCTGAATAATTTGAACTGTCTACTGTCCAAATGGTTTTACATACAAAGGGATGAAAGTTACGTTGAAGAAAAACCTGTTTGGACCAAATGTCTCTCATTCTCTCATTTTTGCTTATGGTGCTCATATTTAGATCCTCATCTTAAAAAAAAACCCAACAAAACAAAAAAACCACCAATAACAAGAAAAACAAACAAAAAACCCCCCAAAAAAACCAAAACCAAAACAAAGAAAACCCCTAAAACTAAGCATAGTATGAAGCATAGTGAGCAGCGTCCAGTCAAGCTGCTGCTAAGCCACATAGTTTCAAAAAACCTCAAAAACAGATCAGATTAGAAAGTTTTCTACCTTAGACTGTCCATTTCCATCAGAGACTCCTCTCTGGATGCAAAACTTTTCTTAATCTGTACATCTTGCACCTAGGAGCAAAGATTACAGGCAATATATTTCATTGTCAAGAGGAACATGTGGATTTATCACATCAGGATATTCACACAGAACATCACAGACTATGAACAAAAGGCTCAGTGTTGCAACAGAACTGCATTAGTCCTATCTTCAGGTGGCATATCTGAAGCAATTTCTTCTATGAAAAAGTTTCACTCACTATTAAACACATTTTATACAGCAACATTATATCCCTTTCACTGTCAAATCACTAACCAGTTAATTTTTATCCATGTGCTAGGACAAGGATAACTGTGCTCTTCTTTGTTGACCTCGTGTGTGCTTTTAGTAGGCACATGCCAACCCCCCAGCAAAACCAGTGAATTTTCCCCTCTGTTAACCTGAAGGAAAACCCAGGCAGCTGAGAAGCTGATTTTTCCTGCTGCCCCAATAGTTCTAAAGCACTGTAGCTCTCCACCTGGCCTACCACAGGGCTAACCCTAGGAGAAGCTCTGCAGTTTGAAACTGCCCTGTTGCCCTGATCTGAGAGACAGATCTCCTGTCGTGATGAATGTAGTACAAGACTGTATTTTACATGGGCTTAGGAATGGCACCAATCCAGCACATCATACAAGTTTCTCAAGTTATCTTTAAAATGCTTGCTATTTTAAAACTACTACTACAGATATAAAAGTGCTTTAAAGTAAACCAAGTTCCTTTTAAAGACTGGCTTTATCTCCAGTTCTGCACTTCATGTAGCAAAACAGTGAAACTGCTGTGTCACTTAGAAAAAAAAAAACCAATTATTTGTTTAATCTGCCTTTTAAAATTGACAAATACCTACTTTCAAATTGTAGTGCTCAAAACAATACTGTAACTCTAATTATGAGATCCAGAATTGAGCTGGCTTTTAATTACAAGAAAAACAAATGTTTGAAATGTAACAATAATCCCAAAGAAAAATAAGATTCCACATCAGCTCATCTCAATAACTCAAAAAATTATGACAATACCTACTTTCAAAACCATCTGGCAATTCCCCAATACTTCAACGATCACTGTGCTCTCCAGAGCGATGCCACTGCTTTTGTAACTATTTCCTTGCAGGAATGTGCTGGTGACTGTTGAATACCTGTAGCTGTATCTAGCTCTTTTGGGGAAGTAAGATGCACTGTGTCCTAGGAAATAAACAAACAAAAAAAAAAAGGGTGTGTTTTTTTAGCCTATTAAACTTTCCCTTCTATTTTTTTTCTCTTTTAATCTTTCAGCCACAGAAACCAGCTAAGTAAAGGGATGGATATTCAGATTGTTCCTTTCCCACTTGGACTTTCAAGGGAAAGAATTGGGTTTCTGAAAGCATCCTGCATGGCTGCCATAGCTCCCATAGGAGGGTGAAAAGACTTCCCCTCTCCCAAGCACATAACTGCACGATTTCCTTCAAGACAAGAAGTTCATTTCCAAGGGCAGAACAGAAATGTAATGCATTTACAGCACGATTTGGACAACTTTCAAAGAGCAGCAAAGCAGGACCTTCACCACAGCAAGATGAAATAGATATCTGCTCTTCATGCTCATGGCTGGGCTTAGTCCCACACTGGTTTAGTCCTTTGCTCAGCTCTAATGCTTAGGAGTTTTTCAGAGTTCACAGAAGGCAAACTTCAGGCAGGCATGGGCTTGGTAAACCTTGGTGGAACTTCTCTGCTACTTCCATGAATGCCGATCACTCGGACATAAGTATCATTCTTCTCAGAACACAATATCCCTGTGGAAGTTTTCAAATTCCTCTTTCCTTATCTCGTTTTACTCACCTGCACATTCTGCAAAACAGGAAGGTCCATAACTTAACCTCTCTGAGGATCCTGCAATGACAGGTAACAGAACAGAAAAGCAATGCAAATTTGTGTGCAGCTCAGCACAGACCTGCTGTTTCTGAATTTCAGTGAAATTACTGAAATCAAAGCATGGTCCTCAAAACCTCAAAACAAATAAATAAATCCATGACAGTTCTTCTATCAAGTATACAAACTCACACAATCTCACTATTTCTGTCGCAATCCCAAAATGCTAAAGGAAGATTAATCGTTTAATGCATCCTCTCCAGGGAGGATGCTCTCCCACCTGCCCAGTACCACCCAAAGAGCTCAGTAAAGCAAATTGCTACACTACACCAAAAATCCAGACAAAGTTGCTACGACAATTACTACAAACCTACAAGCTGAAACATAATTCTCTTAAGTTTTACCAGTGAGAACATTTCTTAGTAGAAGTATTCTGCATTGAGAGAGATCAATCTTAGCAGAGGAAAAATTTCTTCTACTTACTATCTGAAGCTCCAGCCACAACAGCACAGAGTAAAACGATGACAAGCAACCCTGTGGCCATCGAAATCACCTCCTCTGATCAGAAGTTAGCAAAAACACATCAGTTCTGCTCTCAAACGAACCTCTGAGCAAGGCACTGAAAGAAAATTTCCTTCACAAAGCAGGACCTCACTATTTCAACTCCCCTCTTCCTGCCAGAGGAGGGGCTCTGGCAGGGGAGCCTGCAGAGGGGAGGGGGAGGTTGTAGTAAGGGGGAGAGACAGATACAGGCATAACCACTGATCCCATTCCCAACAGCATTTCAGCCTTTTTGCAAAAGAAGAGAAAGAGAAGTTAATCTGTTAGAAATCCCACAAAACTGCAGGGAAAAAATATTAGGTATATGGCATCTTAACAGAGCAAATGCTCAGAAGAATCTCATGCAGTGAGTTTAAACTATATTAACAAATGTAAAAGCCACCCTAGCAATCACTCCTTGATGATTAATCAACCAAAAAGCACATAGGATGAAAGTCAAAGCCTTGGGAGTAAAGGGAAGGGGTTTCCATTGGGAGCAAGCAAGTTTGCTCCCACCAAACTAAGTCCCAAACCTCAAATGGGTGAAATTGTGTGTGAATAACACACAAAACTACTGAACCACCGTCCTTCTGGTACCAGTCAGGTTTGTACAACACATTGGACACAGGCCTTCCAGGCAGACCCCTCGTCCTGGCCCGGGGCTCTTCCCACACTCCCCATGCACTCTGAGCCCAGGTACTGATGGTCACTCACAGCATGAGCCACGGCCACAACTCAGCTGTGCCTGTGTGCCAGCACCTCCCAAGGGAAGCCGTGTGGGCAGGCAAACGTTTGATTCCTCCTCCTGCAAGCCCTCTGGTGTAGGTGAGCTACTGCTCACTTCAAACAAGAGTTGCAAGTAGAAATTTCAGTAACAATCCCAGTCACTGGTACTACTCTCCCCCGCCAGGTTTGTGCTACAAAAAAGAGGCTACAGCCTCTTTTCTGCACTTACTTCCTCCATCATACAACACTTGCTCATGAAATGCTTACAAATGTTAAAGGGAAAGCAACTTCTCAAGTGTGCTTTGCAAACATCAATGACTGAAGAAGGTGAGAGAGCACGATTCCAGTCTAAAGAGTTAATAAAATACTCCATGATGTAATCTGGGCCCCTCTATCAAAATCCCTGACCTACCAAATGAAAAATTCAGAGTCAGTTTAGGTTTGAAACCAAATTAAAAACAAAACAAAACAAACAAAAAAAACCCAACAAAAAACAACACTGAAAACTAAAAACCTACATATTTTACACAGCAGCTCAAATTTCCTAGAACCAACCCAAAACAGTAACTAAAAAAGACTTCTTCTACCTTCACAGTGATTTTTGAGAATATTCTTATTCTGAAGCTGCTTCAGAGATTTCTTTGTGGAAAATTACTTGCTGAGTTTCCCATTTTTACTCTGCTAAGCTAGTCAGTCTGGTACTCATTCTAATTTTTAATTTAAGAGTATAGCTCATCTGAGCATAGTATGCACTCCATGTAAGCAGTTATCTAGCTCTTGGTCTACTATCAGCAATATGGATAGAAGCAGGAAAGTTAATAGCTGGGGAGGAACATAAAAACTTGATTAATTAACCAGGAAATTGCTATATTGTGACAATTCTTTTCTTGAATCACTACTATTGCCCAGTTTTCACATCAGCCTGACTTTTAACTGTTTATGCTATTGGGAAAAAAAACTTTAAAGCATAAAATTTGCATCAAAGTCAGTAGGAACATCAACACTGAAATTAGAGAGAATTTCTGTTTTATCATGACATGGGTTTAAGTGCAGAGAGTAATTTAGGCTTTCTAAAATAATGTAATCTGCATTTTAATCTCAAGTTTTCACTTTATAGTTTCCCTTTTCTTAGGGAAGAAACAAAACTAATTAAAAAAGAAGAAAAATATGGTAGGACTAAGAGAACACTCAAGAATTCACAAATCTGAGCTCGCTTGAATCTTGACAATTTCATAGGCCCAAGAACAAAGAAATTTATGAACAAAACTCTAAGGCTTTTTTTGATAAAAATATTTCAAACACCTCTTTTCAGCAGAGCAGAGATTTGAGGCAGTTTTTTTTTAAAATCTAAATACAGAATTAAATACCTGAATAGCAGCTAGGTCCTAAATGCTCACTGAAGTCAATTCTTTAAGATAAAATATCACATAAGTGTCCTGTGCACTTGACTCAGGTGACATTCCTCATGTAGTGATTGGCAAGTGCAGGATGGAGCCCAAGACTCAACATCTTGTAAGTATTTTTTCCTACCTCACACCAGGTGAGCTTTTTCTAAAAAATCAAAACACCACCCCCAAAACAGGCAGAAAAAGAACCTACAGAAATTTCCAACACATTGCTGTCCTAGATTATCTTTAAAAAATGGAAGAAAATCTGACACACGTGCTGCAAACACACTGGTTTAATGACACACAAGAGACCCACGCTGGCTCTAAGTTTTGGAAAGTATTCATCCATTTTAATGGACACTGTACTCAAGTTTGGAAAATGAATTTAATAAAAAGTACCATCTGTCACACACACGGTAAGCCTGTCCATGGACACCTGAGAACTGTTCACCATTATTGCCAAGAAAGCCTGAGATTTTACAAACTGGTAAAGTCTGCTTTGCATAGGCCCCACAAATAATATTAAATTAATATTATCGTGACTCTGACGTGTAGCACTAACCGCCGAAGGCAGGAGGGAAGTGCCCTTGGCCAGGGTCCCACACCCACCTGTGCGCTCGCCGCACCTCCGCCTCCTCCCCGCGCCCGCAGCGCGCCCGTGTCCGGGAGCTCCGCCCGCTCCCGGCCCCGAGGCGAGCCCGCGGAGCCCTCAGCGCCGGGCACGTCCCGGAGCCCTCACAGCGCCGGGCACGTCCCGGAGCCCTCACAACAGAGCATCTCCCGGAGCCCCTCACAGCGCCGGGCATCTCCCGGAGCCCCTCACAGCG